ATTTTACAAAGTCAAATATTTAAAACAATTAAAATTGTATAGTGCTCAATTTGTAAATGACTAGTTGATCTTTGCTATTGGAAGTTTGTCAAGGACTGGCAGCTAGCGGGGCAAGGAATGCACGGGCTTAGGGGCTTTTGTGCACACCAGAACACTAGCTCGGTAGATTTTTGGAAACTAGAAGGACTGAAAACTAAAATTGTTTTTGATGGAGGCTGAGGCATGTTTTTGAGAGGGACGGTATAATAGCTTGTGGTAACAACTGGCCTTTACTTTAATAGGATGAAGTTTTAGTTTTAGGACAGGAAGAAGGCATTAAGAAGATTTGCTCTTTGTTTACAAGGCAGAATATAAGCAATGTTGGTTATAATATGTATCAATATCTAGATCTTCGTTTATCAATTTTCACTAAATGGGTTTAAAATTTTAATAGGGAGGGAAATTCATCAACTTTATTAAGTACCTATCAAAAATAAATCTTATATCAATGTAATATATTAAAAATCATAATCCTAAGTCTAATAATAAATCTGTTAAAAACACTTTCTCACTACACTGCGCTCACACACGTTAGTAAGACAAAGGAAAATGCACACCCAGCTAATTTTCAATTTCAAGATAATCATTTTGGATGTGTGGACCCTAGGGTAGACTTAATGTCAAAATTTAGATTAGAGCATTCGAAATCTTTGTTTGTCCAATCAAGATCAGCATGGTTATGCTGGTTGACGAGCAGTGATTGCTTCATCCTAGACTTCAGGCAGGCCACACTTAGACAGTAGTCACGTATACCAAGCTTAGGCACAATTACGTTCCAAATACGAGTCGTTCTGCTATTGAAGTTGTCAGGGGGGTCTGCTTGGCTTAGTATAAGGGTGGGTTTCCTACTTGAGCAGGTGAAATTTTCATGGAGGGAAATCGGAGCACGGAATTTCATGATTTTATAGAGCTCAAGGAAACAATGGTAAGTGTACAGGTTTTGGACGGCAAGTATTCCGTGTTCCTTGAACAAAGGTTTCGTGTGCTCTTTCAAGAAAAATTTTTTGTTCAGATTTTGGTTGCCAAACGGTCGAGCACGAGCACAGGTCTTAAATTTATCTAGGTATGCCTCCCTGTCGCCAAACAGTACCCTGAGACAATATTTTTGTGCTTTGAATACAGAACTTATACGAGTTTTGGCTGCCCCACCCCAAACCGTGATACAATAGGAGAGGTGTGATTCAAATAGAGTGTAATACAACTGGCGGTGTAAGAAATCTGGGAGGGAGCAGCGTAGGCGGCAGAGAGTTGATGTTGCATGGCTGATAAAATAAGCACTCAATATCTTTTGTACAGTGAGATAGATTTTCGATTACTACAGCATTCAGGCGATCAGAGACATATAAAGATACTCCTGTTCCTTTTCTCTTATCAGGGAATGGTACTTGACAAAATGTTGTATAGGAGGGGATTTGGTATAAGCCTTGTTGGCTTGGATCGATGTTGGTCTCAGCCAATCCAATGACATCAAAATTACACGGGAGGGTCTTATGTTCTATTAAAAAGCTGTCAAAATTACTAGCAAACCCATCTATATTGCAAAACAGAGCGGGCAGATAAGCAGAATTTTTATTTTTCTCAGGAAAAAGTTTGCTGATTGAGTTTGCTAGTTCTTGTTTTGTGTAACGCTTACAGTCTTCAAGTATTGAAGAGAATTTAGCTATGGTGACATCTTCCTGGTTGTTTGTATCATAGAATTTATCTGAATCATCATATCTTTGGCTGCTTGGAAATGGGCAATACCTATCTTCTATTGTACTACAGCAATCACTGCACATCCATAGACCGTTTTTGCTTGTAAATTTCGCGGATCTGAAGCACTTAGTATGAACAACTTTGCTGCAATTTTCACATTCTAAGAGTGGCTGGCCAATATTAATGTATTTACTACAGGGGTCGCACACATCTTTAATAAGTTTCATAATCATGATAAACTAAGTGGGATAAACTCCCACTGGTCGGGTGGCCTTCCTTTGTCTTACTCTCTCCTGTCTCTCCCTCACATACACCCACTGTTTCAGACATCTCACAAATTTAGCAATACCAAGCTCTCCGAGATGGATTTCATCACCATTTCTCGTGAGTTTCATAGCAAGCAACCCTTTACCGTCTAAAAAGTGGCCAACACCAAGGTGCCATACAGTCTGGTTAAAGCTAGAGTACAACATTTCATCAACCAAGCTGTTGAATGCCATAATGTTTTTATTCATCTTAGGGAGTCTAGACGGTAAAACTGCTGTGACAAACAACTTCGCCTTAGGGCACAGTTTCTGGATCTGCTGGATTTTCAGGTGGAGAATGTCTACCAGCTGGTGTATATCACCAGGTGACTGCACATTTTCAACTCGTAGATCGTTCATTCCAAAGCAAGGAGCTATGGGTAATAACCCCCAAATCTTTTTCCTGTGCAGATACTTCTAGTTCTACTCCATTTACAATATAATTCGAGTTAGGATTATTATTCAGATTAATATGGACTACTTTACACTTGGCAGGATTGAAGTTTAAGTGCCAAATACTCTCCCAAATTTCGAGTTCTAAAATATCATCAGATACACTTCTATGGTTAGCTGCATTACAAACTAACTTGAGATCATCTGCAAATAATTTAATCTTATTTTTAACATTGTCAGGTAAATCGTTTATATAAAGAATAAATAGCAAAGGACCCAATACTGACCCCTGGGGAACACCAGATAACACGTGTTTCACCTCAGACCATTGTCCTTCTACACAAACCCTCATGGTTCTGTCTGTCAGAAAGTCTTTTATAACATCTAAAACTTTTCCCTTGACCCCAAACCCCTCCAATTTAGATAGAAGTCTAAAGTGGGGGACTGTGTCAAAGGCCTTACTAAAATCAAAATACAAAAGATCGACAGGAGCACCTTCGTCTAAAATATCAAGAATATTATCAAATGTCTCTAAGAGATTAGATAGACAAGATTTACCCTTCACAAATCCATGCTGATGCTTTGAAATTCGTTCTTCTAAAAATGTTAATAAATGTGCCCTCACCAACTTTTCATACACTTTGCACAAAATACAAGTTAATGAGACAGGTCTATAATTTAAGGGATCAGATTTAACACCCTTTTTGAACAATGCTACAACAGATGCTGTCTTCCAAATGTCAGGCAGGACTCCTGTTTCTGAACACTTAATAAATAATTTAGTTACAGCTTCAACAAACTTTTCATCGTATGCTAAGGATTTCAACAACTTTGGATGAACGCCATCCGGACCAGAACTCTTAAAAACATTAAGCTTTAAAAGCTGCTTCTTGATATCAGAACTGCTAATTTCCATATCATCAATAACCTCTTTGTTATAACTCTCATTTTGGGGAAGAGGGCCAGGTGGTTCACGCACAAACACAGAACTAAAGGCACTAGCAAGTACCTCAGCTGACTCAGATGAACTATCTGTGCGTGTACCATCTCCTCTATCTAAAGAAACAACACTTGACTTAACTTGACGTTTATTACGCAAATACGAGTAGGTTAAAATCTCCAATGATAATGGTTTCAAAAACATTCTTTTCACTAGATATGTTCTTGATGCAAGATAATAACATATTATTCTGCTTTAAATTCAAAGAGGTAGACCTATAAATACAACAAATACTAATCAATCCACCAGAGGTATTGACATTAATAGCTAAAGAGTCTGGTGCTTTTAAAAATGAGCTCACTAATGAAGCATTACAACTGTTTTTAATATAAATAATAGAACCTCCACCTCCACTTATGTTGCTGGTGGAGTTATCGATTTTAAAATCTCTGTCTTTTCTAAACATACTAAAACCTTCAATAAAAATTTCAGCATCTAAAATATCACTATTAAAATGAGTTTCTGTAATGCAGATTACATGAATGGATTTATAAACTGATAGAATACATTTTAGTTCATCAATTTTATTAAATAGTCCATTAGCATTAGTATAAAAAATATTCATGGGCTGACTACATTCTTTATCACTGCTATTTACTTCTTCTCCACCTTCTTCTCTGTCTTTTCCTTCTCTGCTTCTTCCCGCCTCTTCTTCCTCTCTTCTCTGGCTAAAAAACGGATCTCTCGGTCTGCTCTGCAGAGATCCAGATTTATCCAGTATGATGACTCTTTCCAGCCCTTGCCATGGTTGGAATAATAGTTAACTGACTCCTGGTCAGCTGTCTGGATGATCAATGGCCGACAGGAGTCTGGCTTACCTGGATCCACTTTACCTGCACGATGGCAACTGATAAAGTCACTTTTTTCAATCTTTAGTGTCTCCTTGCAGAAATTCGAGTCCTCTTCCTGGCGTAGCTTGGAGTTAGCTTTCTTGCTCTCTGGTACATTCAAAACACACAGATTGAGCTTCCTTAAATTTCGCTCATATGCATCAGTGTGCATCTTTGTCTGAACTTTACTGACAACACTTTGTGAAGCTTGCTGTAAGCTCATTTCTTCCATAACTTTCTTCTGACTATTTGCAGTAACATCAGCGAAGGACTGGAAAGCCTGGTTCACTATCTTTGATATTTCTTTAGGTTTTTCAGACTCAAAGTTAGTTGGAATGTTCTCGTTCACTGCGTTTTCAACAACCCCTCTGATACAAGGTGTAAGAGCCTCAAGTTCCTGCCTAATAACATTCCGTAGTATTTTTGTTTCTTCATTATCAGGGTTCGAGGTCTGAGTCCTTTTGCTTTTTATGTAAGGTGATATAAAACAATTCTGACAACGCCAGTTAGACAGATGGTCGCCTTCTTCTTGTGTCAGACCTGTCAGTCCAACACAGCAATAATGCCAGTACATATCACAGGTTGCACAAGCTAATGAAAACTCCTCTGCGATATACCTTCTGCATTCACAACTACGGTCTCCTTCATCTTCAGTTACATCCGTTTCTGCTGTAGCACCAGTTTTCTCTGGGCTTTTCTTGACATTTCGTTTTCGTGCCGTATCTCCTCGTGTCATACCTCAAATTATTTGTTATATAGTAGTGTTGAAAGTATTAAAACTGGGGGTAAATAAATTTTAGTTGAATTTTTTCATTACACTCCAAAATATTTTGTTATTTCGGTCAGCAAATGTTAACTCTAAATTGTAGGTTCATAATTGTCAGTAAAAACGAAATGTAAACGTTTTTCAATGCGGCTAACCTCTTAATTTAGATATAGCAAAAATAGATTAAATTATAGAGTTGTTATTTGGTCCTTAAAACATATATATCCTGAAAGTTTCAAGGTGATTGCTCAAAAATGTAGGAGAAGATGGATTTTTGGATTCGATTATTTTTAGATTAAATGGGCTATTGTTAGCCCCAAGCGTTTTGGTCCCTCAAATATTAGTGGCTCTATTAAATGGCACGATGAGGTAAAATTTGTCACACTATGAAACTAAATAAACCCTCAATGGTTAGGATAATCGTCTCATCCTCTAGACAAACTTTGTCACATAATGATATCTTTATCAGATATCGCTTAAATTCGGCCAGCAGTGAGTTGTAAACTTTAGCACTATAAAAACGTGACCGAGATTACATGGTGCCATGTTTGACCAAATTTTCGAATTTTCAGTTCATATGCATTGGATAGTTTCATATGACTATTAGTATTATCTACATATTTAGCGACTTTTTTTGTTAAATGGTACCACCAGGTAAATTCAGTCAAATATTTAAGAAATTTATATGAGGGATGTTTATGACATCCTGACACGAAATGTCGAATAGTCTAGTATTATTTTGTGAGCTGAATGTATTGGGAATTATTAACATATCTCATTGTTATAAGCAAATTTTGTCACGTCTTGTTAAAATGGGGCAAGTAACGTCACATTGTCATTTTAGAATCATTGTTTCCTAATTTAACCTATTTACGACTTCATATCATTTTGTGACAATGTTAACGTCAACTGCCCCTAACTTGAATCAGCCGTATCGTCCTTATATAGAGTTTTCCCGCCAAGTCCAAACCAAAATCAGAAATAAGTGATTTCGGCAAATTTCAAATTCCACATCATGTGACCGAATTTACTTCATTTCCCAATAACCAAGTGCATGTATTTGCTAACTTTTCAAAACAACATATTTTAGGGCTATTGTTGGTAGAAGAACCATCAAATAATGAGTTGAAAGGGTTTTGAGGACACCTCACAGTAGAAAAGAGGTAAATCGTATTCTGAATGTGACAAAGTTGACGAAATATTGCCTTAAAACCGTTCGATCCCTGCCCAATGTTGTATCATAATTGTTAGATTGACCTAATCCACAATATTTTAATCTAATATATTTTAGACCAAGGAATGCTTATTGGGCAGCTATGGTTAACACAGTCACAAAAATGTGACATTTTTTCTATTATAGTGCCTACGGGTATCGGCCTTACAAAATGACACGAAAAAGGAGATGGCTCTGAAATGCACAAAAATGAGTTTTGTTCATGTTTTATTATCCAGATAGGTAGTTCAGCAGGTATATTTTTCTTCCCGGGGGTTGATTTGATTGAAAAACCGTAAATTTTGCGATTAAAATTGTCATCTTTGAAATCTTCCAAAAAAACATGCCTTACAAAATGACAATTTCGTCACGGCTGTCATTTTTTAACAGCAGCCTATAGAAATTTGATTTCACCTAGGACAGTTAGATAAATATAATAGATTGAAGATTAGAATAGCTTTTACAGGAAAAAGGATGATTAAAAAAAGTTGGGCAATTTCGCGTGAGATAGTGCCTTACAAAATGACAACCCAAAACGGCATCACTTCAAATCCGATTTGGGAAAAAGTTTCATTATTCTTTCACGTGTCTTACTGTTAGATATATATGTTGTTTATATTATACCAGTTCTGTTTTTACCAGAATATATTAAAAAAGGAACATTTTTTATACTTTGAAAAAACTTTAAAAATGTCATTTTGTGAGGCGTAAAAATCATTTTTTGTTTTCATACTTGAACACAGTATTTGGTTATATTTGATATTTTCTATGACTGGATAGATCACTTTTCAGTGTTTAGTTAACGTTTGACATGTTTTAGGAGTTGTTATTACTCTCTGCTTTCACAAAATAGAAGCTTTATTTCGTTGAGTTTTGAAATCAGAGTTTGAAATCAAAGAGTTTGAAATCAAAGTTTTGATATCAGAACTGCACTTTTTTAATGCTACTTGATTGTTAACTGTCAGATTATGATTATTTTTAACTCCTTCTTGTATTGACTGTTTCTGATCCATTTTAGATGATGAAAGTAATTCAATCTGAAACATTGTCATTTTGTAAGGCTTTTCGGTGTCATTTTGTGAGGCATTTTGATCAAAATTGATGATCAAACAAACACATTTAGGCTCATCATAAGCTTACTGGGTTTAAGAATACCAATAATTAGGCAAGGGGCATCCAATATAAATATGCCATCTTTGTATCATAAAATAAACTGTCATTTTGTGAGGCATAACACTGTCATTTTGTGAGGCTAGGTCATTTTTTTGTCATTTCTTCTACCAAAGTCACTAAATCAGTTTTTTTATTTGACCAGAGTAGTCTTTGATTGACATAAGTCATGGTAGTACCTGGTTTTCTGGGGTTAAATTCTAAACTTTGGTCTCCATTCTGGGTAACAGTTAGGCGGGGCAATGACTGAACAGCAAAAACGTCCATATTTATGTAAGAAATATAGATTCTATGTCATTATCATTCCTTGGGAAGTGTTAATTAATGCTTTTTCTTTCATACAGTAAAAGGAATAGGGTTCAATGTATAGGGAACCTAAGCTACAGCATGGTCTATGTGGGCTGTCATTTTGTGAGGCCTGTCATTTTGTAAGGCCGATACCCGTAACAACAATACATTTTATTTCTGAGCAGTGCATATGGGAGTATGGGTCACGTGGCTAATGTTCAGAACTTCTGAACACGCTAGAGTAATAGATGCTAAAATTAAGCCACTATCGTCGAAAACGCTATTTTTTGTTTACCAATATCCTCAAACTTCAATGAACGTGTTCATATATCATCGTTTTCTACAAGGTTTTATTATTCTTGGTGATAATATTTTGATTTTTGCAGATTTGATACTTACAGCTCAATTTTTCCGCTAATTCCTATTATTCAGGTAGGTGGTATGGTTTCAAATGGTGAAGAACCTGAATGAAGTTTAGAACCGGCCCTACCTATTCTTCATCGCAAATAAGTCTAAGCAGTTTCGACTAAATAATCGATTCTAATCAATCCTTAATACCAAGTTATTATAAGCTGTGACTATCGAGTTTATGCTGATGCCTTGTCGGTCATTTGACAATGGGAGTGAAGATGTAGTGGTACACCGTCATCACGGAGCAGGAGTTGATGACGACAACTCCGGAGAAGATGTTTGGAGTGATGAGGATAATGCCGAGGAGGATCAATACACGCAGCTTGCTGACTTTACTGGTCCGTTACTATTTGCTATTTTCAAATTCCGGTTTTTAAAGCACTGCAAGCTGTATAATTGTCAAGCTGTATTGTGGATCTCGTACGGTATTCACTCTTATGTCTTATAATGTCTAATAATTACTGATTAGATTAATTGTACAATGGTTTATTTTCGCAAAAAGTCAAAGTTTACAAATGTATATCATGCAGTTCTTCTCATGCATATTATATGAATGTAAACAAAAAAAAGTCGCATTACTTATTTAAATCGTATTCATTAAATATATCATGATCTTAGCGTGATTTGTCCGGCGACCTAACTTTTTTAATCAATAAACTTTCAAATTGTTACACAAAGTAACTTACATCATTTTAATATTACAAAGAAAACTCGCCAAAAGATCTGTCCATGCATGCCTTGATAAGTGACCGAGTGGTAACAAAATTAGGGACACCGAAACACCAGATTACCAGTAATGATAAACCAGTAATAATGACCAGTAATAATAAACTGGTTATGGGAATTAGATCAGGCCCTAAATGCACCTGAAATAAGTGAAGCGATGCGGCAACCAAGGCATGCTAGGTTTGTTACAGTGGACTAAAAAGATTAAAATCCAATAGCACTAATTCATTACATCTATTTAAGCTTAATATTCCACAAACTTTTCAGGAGACACTGGCATTTTCAGCAGTGACGAGGAGGAAGAAGAAGAAGAAGACTCTTTTAAACTAGACTCCCAACTTGATACCGCTAGTCATGCCATTTCATCTTCATTAGACATTGACGCTAGGATTGAACAAGCCCTCACTTTACCTGATATTGATGTGAACAGAGGACCCGGCTTCCCTGAAGTTCCCCCATTTTATCTGAACTTTAATCCTTCACAAATATCAGAAGATGCAAGGCGAGCTAATTTGGCCCTCTCAGAAACAGATGAGAACTTTATCAGAGACAGTATGAGTTGCATGAGCATAGCGCCCCCACCTTGGGCAGGTGCCATTGATGAGACTAACTGGAAAGATGAATTAAGAAAACACTTAGCCAAAGATTGATTTAATTATATGTTTCGTAATGATTTTACCCTTTTTGAGCTGGCTCAATACAACTGATTATTGATATTTTTAATTGCGATTTAACCCCAAAGTCACGAATGTTTTTAGTTAGTGTTCTTACAGATGATATAAAGCTTGGTTTGAGATATTTATAAGTTTATAGTTTCATTTTTGTAAATAATCAATAGTTAAAATATTCATGATTTGTTAATTTGCAATACAAATTAATATCTCTCTGATTTACAAAATTATAGTTCACAATTGAATGAGTAGGTTATAGGTAAGCAAGCATTGAACATATTCTTCACTTAGGAAATGTTCTAATAAACCTAGTGCAACATGCCAAAAGCGAGCGCAGAAAAAGAATGGAAGTTCACCATGCTGCCCCGGGCAAACGTGTTTCACCCAACGTTGGAGGAATTCGCAAACCCTCTGAAATACATCAGCAGCATAAGAGAAGTTGCTAAAACTACAGGTATGCGACCCTGATATAAGTATGATTTAACTCAATATGTTTGACTTTATCGACTGGATTTACGCCAGCACACTCTACTTCACGAAATGTAAAGACCGTGTATTACCACTTGTCAGTCAGACGAAACACGTTGTTATTATGGTTGTTATGTAATTATTTTCAGGTATAATCAAGGTTGTGCCCCCCGAGGGCTGGGCTCCGCCCTTCTCAATCGACATCGCAAAGTTCCTCTTTACACCACGTGTCCAGAAGCTAAATGAACTGGAAGCCAAGTCTCGCTGTCACTTTCAGTTCATGGAGGGTCTCGCCAAATTCTGGCACCTTCAGGTGAGATCGGATTACTCTGTTTGTGAGGGTGGTGTCATATAATTGTGGGGCTATTTTTAGAAAAATGTCTAATGTCAGTGCGTACATTACTTCAGTAATATTGTCCGGATATATTGGAATAATTTTAAAGCTTATCTTCTTCCAAAACTTTCAATCTTATTCCATAAAATTTATGTTACATTTAATGTAACTCAAGTTCTAGAACATTACCCAGATTACAAAACTTAAACGCCCTAATTAGACAATACCACGACTCACATAATGACGGTGCCTGTGTTTTAATATGTTGATAAATTGAAGGGTGCTAATCTGGTCGCTGTGACGCTACTATAACATGTAGTATATTGTATAACATGTATAATGTTACTTTGTTCAGGGTGTTGATGTGAAGATACCCAACGTAGAGTACAAGCCTCTGGATATGTACACGCTACATAAGGTAATGTATACTGTGTAATGTATTTTGTGTAATGTATACTGTGTAATGTATACTGTGTAATGTATACTGTGTAATGTGTATTATTATCAATGTATAGTCTCCTGCATGGCACATAATACACGCAACGTCATGTACGTGATTTACTTGTAACGTTGAGTATTATGCTGTGTACATAACCTTAACATAATGAGGCATATATTATGTACATTATATTATGTTCTTCGATGAGGCACATTAAAGTGACACAAACTTACATTATAGTGTACTGATATATGTGAAGGGAGTGTGACGTTTTGAAAAGAGTTAACTTGCCCAAATTAGGTTTCGCAGACTAATAGTTATATAAGCTATTTAACCGAGTTTTACATTATTTATCATCAGGTTGAAGGTTGTGCTACCATGCTAAATATAGATACACATTTACTAGATTGTTCTCTAATGAGATTTTGCTCTTACGTCTGCGTTTTACTTGACATCACGATTAAAACGATTTTACGCTCTTCAGTTGTGCTATTTAAAAAACTAATTATAATCTCATTATGAACTAAGTACTATAACTAAGTACTATAACTAATTACTAACGCAATAACTTCACTCAGGTGGTACAAGATTTTGGTGGGTATGAGAAGTGCTGTAGTGGTAAGAAATGGAGCGCTATTTGCAAGAAACTCAAGTTCAAGGACAGATCCCCGGTAAATACGATACGGCAACATTACGAGAAGATTGTTCACCCCTACATTGTCTTTAGAAGAGTTCATTGTGGCGAAAATCTGGCTTCTGACGAAAAAAATGTGAGTGTTCAAGTTAGATTGTTACTGTCACTTTCGTGCTCAAGGACCAAGGGGCAAGGTGGACGCGCGCCGTGTTTCTTTTATACTTCCCTGAAGACTACTTGAGTACTTTCTGTATATGGATTGGGATAAGTATTCCCCGGCCCACTCTCGGTATGAAAATGATCACCAGTTTTAACTTACTGGGCAAATTTTCGTGGTTCGGCTTTATACAATTTATTCTGATATTTCTTTATTGAACAATTAGGCGTAAGATATGGAAGGCGCGGATAAGCTAATGAAGGGGGCGCGCAATATATGCTCGCGTCCTTTCAACAAAATAGATAAATTTGGCTTCCATTTTGTAAGGAAACATGACGTCATACACCACATGGTGTTGTATGGAAATATCGCCAAAGATTCTTACTTTTAAAACGGTTTCAGATAACAGTTGAACTCATCAAAGAAAAGATGGAGAAGACTGAATACAAGCATCCCAATGACACAGGTTTGTTTACTATGCGCATTGCGCAGTGTCCAGCACTGTGCGTGTTATTTGTCGTTTCTTTGTCTAACCACAAATGACATCACATGGAACAGCGCATAAATATAACTCTTACAGCATTCGTACTCTACAGTAGCCATGACGAATCCATAATCAGGGAAACAATTTCGCGAGTTAGTGGTGGAATTGGAAATAATGAGCAACTAGCAACCTAAAAATGTCGTCATTTCACAGTTCACACTTCTCCAATCAATATTCAACTCATTTTCAATAATCAACTCATTTTCTGATAATAATCCAACTTCCAGATGATAAGAAGGAGCTATTATACGAGAATCTGTTCTGTAAAGTATGTAAGAATGGAGACAGGGACGATGCTATGTTACTCTGTGATGAATGTGATGAACCTTATCACATATACTGTCTAAATCCTCCGCTAGAAAAGATTCCCAGTGGAGAATGGAGGTGCCCTGTTTGCCTTGCTAAGGTATGATTATGCTTAGTAAGCTTCTGTGGAATTTGCTTAAAAAGTATGCAGAATTGTATTCAATACCGGTGAAATATTGCGCATGTATTTAGTTTCAAAATATCTCAACTTCTCAGAATTCTCTCGAAGCTTCTCTCAAATTTGTCACTTTCAGGAAATAGACAACCGGCAGTTCGGATTTGAGCAAGCAAAGAAAGAGTACACACTATCCCAGTTTGGTCAGATGGCCGATAATTTCAAGTCCCGGTATTTTAAGATGCAGGCCAGTGAGGTTCCTATTGATAGAGCTGAGGAGGAGTTCTGGAGATTGGTCTGCTGTGTCGATGAAGATGTAAGTCACTATACATATTATACACTATTATACACTATTATACACTCCATAACTTTCATCCTGCTAACACAACAATTCACTTTCTCAATCAATCATTGGATTTCCCTTACAGAATTTAAGGTAACAAATTTCCTCACCCTCAGGTTGCAGTAGAGTACGGAGCTGATCTCCTGTCCTCTGAGCTAGGCAGCGGGTTCCCAACCCGGGACACTGCCAAGACTGACATAGCCAAAGAGTACGCAGACGACCCCTGGAACTTGACACACTTCGCAGATCTGGAGGAAAGTGTGCTGAAATACATCACAGAGCCGATATCAGGCGTCAAGATACCGTGGGTCTACGTGGGCATGGTCTTCAGCAGCTTCTGCTGGCATGTTGAGGATCATTGGACCTACTCTATCAACTATCAGCACTGGTTAGTTGTACTCGCGGCTACTACTGTTAACTGTATCATCCTGCAGCTCTCGTATATTTGATGTGATAACAATTTCCTGATTGTTAGTCAAGAAAAGTGGCACACACACGATTAGCAGAATAGGGGCTGGTTAAGGGGTTCCATCTTGAGAGCGGTGCAACAGCGAATCCCGGAAATTGGACCGTTACGTTAAAATATTAATTAACTAAATACTTCTCAGACCATTTCAGTTTTGCAGGTCTGGATTCCGCATTGTAATTATATGTCCTTAGGCAGTGGGTAATGGGGAGGTTAATTAGCATAACCAACATTTCACCCAGTATAGATTGCGTCTTTATTAATACTGCATACAAAACAATATTACCATAACAGTAATGGGGAACCTTGATTTAGTTAAGCAAGTCGGTAGATGTCCATGACAATTGACAAGGAGCTAACAATGACCACACACCTTTATCACAGGGGAGAATCCAAAGTGTGGTACGGAGTACCTGACTCAGGAGCTCAAGATTTCGAGGATCTTATCAAGAAAGAAGCTCCGGAACTGTTCACAAAGGAACCCAGTCTGATGCACCAGCTTGTCACTACTCTCTCTCCTAAACTGCTTCACGACAAGGGTGTACCAGTGAGTAAAACAAATTCCCATATTATTGTCCACCTAGGCAGGGCACACATTGTCACGCAATTTGTGGCAATGTAAATTCTGCTTGAGGTGACATGTTTTTAAGCATTTTTCCATATTTAAGCCGGCACTATTTCTCAACTCTCAAGTTCCGGGCTAGTGATCAGGATCTATAACTTCCGTGTGTAAAGATACACCCAATAAGGGTGTATTCTTAGCAGTGATGTAACCAGCATGCTTCCTGGACAAATGTTTAACTTCTCATATAAATGTATTATTAATTTTAGGTGTACACGCCACGACTTGTATAACGTCTCATCTAAATGTATTGTTAATTTTACACGTGATGCCCATATAAGGAGATAACCAGTCACCATGGTAATTTCAGGTGTACACGCTGAGACAACAGCCGGGTGACTTCATAATAACCTTCCCTCGTGCTTACCATGCTGGGTTCAACTCTGGGTTCAACTTTAACGAGGCCTGTAACTTCGCCACCGCTGACTGGGTACTGTAGTTAATCTTGTTAACACATTTAGTAATAATCTAACTAACAATTATTCTAATGGAAAATGTTTGTAATTTAGCTTGATAGACCCCTAAATTATAACTCTTGAGAAAGTTGACCCATCCCCCCTCCCTCCATATATAACTAATTTCTTTCTCCCTCCCCCAATTTGATACAACTGTCCCTCTGACATCCTGTATTGAGACTGTTTTGCCTGCAGATCCCACTGGGTCGGCAGTGTGTGGACCAGTACAAAGAGTTTGGTCGTTACAACGTCTTCTCCCACGAGGAACTGCTCCTTAGAATGGTGTCTAAGACGGACAGTCTGTTGCTGGACATTGCTGAAACCCTCTTCCAGGATCTCCAGGTGATTCTACACTCTAGTCTATATAGAAGAAATTCTGAACTAATAAAGAAATGCATCATCTTGATATTTCCACACTATGTCTCGCTTGATTGACTTAAACGTACATCTTTCTGGGTATATTTTGATGTCGAAGCGTGTAATAAATGTTAGAATTTATGTATTTATCATAAGTTTAGACTGTAGGCTACTCTAGTCACTAGTGTAGGCTACACTTTCTACTTCTCCCGACAACTTGTCTGTATTTGATGGGTGCTCTTAGTAAGCGTTTACCCAGTAACCACCTAGTAACCACCTAGTAACCACCTAGTAACCACCTAGTAACCACCTAGTAACCACCTAGTAACCACCTAATAACCACCTAGTAACCACCTAGTAACCACCTAGTAACCACACACTTTCTACTTCTTCCGACAACTTGTCTGTATTTGATGGGTGCTCTTAGTAAGCGTTTGAGTTAATAATTGCCGCGTGAAACGTGCTTGTGCCTAAGGGTCAACAATCATTGTGGCGCTAAGTGCTTTTCAATCACGTGCTTCAAAATATAGTTACATTCATTCACCAAACCGTCTGAACTTAAATTGCACCCCATTATTCACTGATTTGGTAACAGTATTAACCACGTGTTAAGCACGTGACTAACCACGTGACTCTTACAGATAATGGTAGAGCGGGAACTGGAACAGCGGGAATCACTCAAGCAGATCCAGACAGACTTTCTGGAGTTTGAGGAGGTACCAGACGAGAAGAGGGTGTGTAGAGTGTGCAACACTACCATGTTCCTCAGTTCCATCGTCTGCTCCTGTCACCCAGGTACCGTTATCACGTGACGTCATCACGTGACGTCATCTGATATCGTAATTTCTTCAACTTCTGGCACATATTTCTAGATGATTTGAACGTTAAGTCAGAGTGATGTCGTATTACCGTAGACTGATTGAATTTCTTACCACTCATCACGCACTTTCTGATTACTAATTAATCAATATGTCTATAATAATGGTCCTAAAACATTACTTGATGTCTTAAATTAAACTGTTCACTTGAATATGCACTCTACCGGCCTACTTTGCCTCATAAAGCTAAGAGGGGATTATTCATCTCCCGACCAACTGGGCACAGAGTGCTACATTCTTCTGCAGAAGTAATCTCTTACCTTATTTGAAATTTAGTGTCTAATTCACTGTCCGAAAATAGTTTCTGCAGAAAATTAGAGCCCTGAAAATAGCAAAGCTGAAATTCATTTCAATATTGAAGGTAGAGTAGCAGGCAGCAGAGTTCTTAACCCCCACTTCTCTCACAGAAGTAATGTACTGTCTCCTCCACGCTCCTACAAGTCCCTGTCCCACATCTAAACAGACTATGAAGTACCGCTACACGGTTGAGGAACTCAAAAAGCTGCCCCAAGATGTACAGAAGAGAATACCAGAGATGAGGGAGTGGACTAAGGAGGTCAGCGGAATGAAGGGCCGCTCTGAGAAACCTTGTAAGTAGGAACCTACTAGGTAGTAATCTTGTAAGTAAGAACCTACTAGGTAGGAACACTCCCCCTCCCTCCGCCCCTCCCCCCTCCCCCCCCTCACTCCGGAGCAGTTTCAACCGAACCTCGGAAGTACTGGAAAGGGTTAAGTTCTTATATTGTACCCTCAGTCAGTTTCACGAAATCTCTGCAAGATTTCTGATTAGAAGGGTTTGTCGGGTCGACTTCTGGTTTCACCGTCCCATTAACAGGAGCAAAAATAGTAAATTTAATTCTGAAAACTGAAGAATTGCTCCCTGCAGTGGTGGAGGAACTTGATAAGCTAGCGGAGCGGGCGGTTGCTAACAAATACATTGAAACTGACGAGTACAGAGAATTGAGATCTGTTATCGACAAAGCTAACCAGTGCATCAAGGTAAAACATCACCAATATTCCCCTATCTAGACAATTTTGAATGTACTGTAGTTCTGAAAAATTGGAACGTTTTGTTCAAAAAGATTTGGAATCTTAAACAATTATTATGTATTATGTATAATGTATAATGTATTACAGGTAACAAACCAGTTGGTAGCGATCAAAAGACGAAGCAGCAGAGTGCACAACTCCTCCCCCGCTCTCAAAATATCAATTAACGAACTTAACAGCTTCCTAAAACAGGTTAGTAGCTTTTCATGAACTTTTGTATGAGGTATATTATGTATATTATGTGTATATTTGCATTGTAATATCCGGATAGGAACATTGTTTATGAGTTGCATTATTGTGAAGTGTCTGATAAACATTTCTGGTGAACATTTCTGATGATCTGTGTATTGCGACAACATATTTGCATTTTTTTTCAGCGAAATGAACTACAAATAAGATTTAAAGACTTCAATATGGTTATTTACAGATAGCCTAACATGCTGCCTACACTTTTACTCGTGTCATCCTGAAAAGCTCCATCTTTTCACTTCATCAACTAATTGCTTATTACATATCCAGTATACACACGCCGCGCGCATCATCTGTGTAAATGTCACATACTCTAATATAACCACTACCTGCTGAGAATTACACTGGCTGATTTGTGCATACGGATAGTCACGTGACACACACAGTACACCACTATTGTACAGGCTACACACTGCTGACATGCTGCTCGCTCCAAGTACACCACTATTAGCTTGTACAGGCTACACACTGCTGACATGCTGCTCGCTCCAAGTACACCACTATTAGCTTGTACAGGCTACACACTGCTGACATGCTGCCCGCTCCAAGTACACCACTATTAGCTTGTACAGGCTACACACTGCTGACATGCTGCTCGCTCCAAGTACACCACTATTAGCTTGTACAGGCTACACACTGCTGACATGCTGCTCGCTCCAAGTACACCACTATTAGCTTGTACAGGCTACACACTGCTGACATGCTGCTCGCTCCAAGTACACCACTATTAGCTTGTACAGGCTACACACTGCTGACATGCTGCTCGCTCCAAGTACACCACTATTAGCTTGTACAGGCTACACACTGCTGACATGCTGCTCGCTCCAAGTACACCACTATTAGCTTGTACAGGCTACACACTGCTGACATGCTGCTCGCTCCAAGTACACCACTATTAGCTTGTACAGGCTACACACTGCTGACATGCTGCTCGCTCCAAGTACACCACTATTAGCTTGTACAGGCTACACACTGCTGACATGCTGCTCGCTCCAAGTACACCACTATTAGCTTGTACAGGCTACACACTGCTGACATGCTGCTCGCTCCAAGTACACCACTATTAGCTTGTACAGGCTACACACTGCTGACATGCTGCTCGCTCCAAGTACACCACTATTAGCTTGTACAGGCTACACACTGCTGACATGCTGCTCGCTCCAAGTACACCACTATTAGCTTGTACAGGCTACACACTGCTGACATGCTGCTCGCTCCAAGTACACCACTATTAGCTTGTACAGGCTACACACTGCTGACATGCTGCTCGCTCCAAGTACACCACTATTAGCTTGTACAGGCTACACACTGCTGACATGCTGCTCGCTCCAAGTACACCACTATTAGCTTGTACAGGCTACACACTGCTGACATGCTGCTCGCTCCAAGTACACCACTATTAGCTTGTACAGGCTACACACTGCTGACATGCTGCTCGCTCCAAGTACACCACTATTAGCTTGTACAGGCTACACACTGCTGACATGCTGCTCGCTCCAAGTACACCACTATTAGCTTGTACAGGCTACACACTGCTGACATGCTGCTCGCTCCAAGTACACCACTATTAGCTTGTACAGGCTACACACTGCTGACATGCTGCTCGCTCCAAGTACACCACTATTAGCTTGTACAGGCTACACACTGCTGACATGCTGCTCGCTCCAAGTACACCACTATTAGCTTGTACAGGCTACACACTGCTGACATGCTGCTCGCTCCAAGTACACCACTATTAGCTTGTACAGGCTACACACTGCTGACATGCTGCTCGCTCCAAGTACACCACTATTAGCTTGTACAGGCTACACACTGCTGACATGCTGCTCGCTCCAAGTACACCACTATTAGCTTGTACAGGCTACACACTGCTGACATGCTGCTCGCTCCAAGTACACCACTATTAGCTTGTACAGGCTACACACTGCTGACATGCTGCTCGCTCCAAGTACACCACTATTAGCTTGTACAGGCTACACACTGCTGACATGCTGCTCGCTCCAAGTACACCACTATTAGCTTGTACAGGCTACACACTGCTGACATGCTGCTCGCTCCAAGTACACCACTATTAGCTTGTACAGGCTACACACTGCTGACATGCTGCTCGCTCCAAGTACACCACTATTAGCTTGTACAGGCTACACACTGCTGACATGCTGCTCGCTCCAAGTACACCACTATTAGCTTGTACAGGCTACACACTGCTGACATGCTGCTCGCTCCAAGTACACCACTATTAGCTTGTACAGGCTACACACTGCTGACATGCTGCTCGCTCCAAGTACACCACTATTAGCTTGTACAGGCTACACACTGCTGACATGCTGCTCGCTCCAAGTACACCACTATTAGCTTGTACAGGCTACACACTGCTGACATGCTGCTCGCTCCAAGTACACCACTATTAGCTTGTACAGGCTACACACTGCTGACATGCTGCTCGCTCCAAGTACACCACTATTAGCTTGTACAGGCTACACACTGCTGACATGCTGCTCGCTCCAAGTACACCACTATTAGCTTGTACAGGCTACACACTGCTGACATGCTGCTCGCTCCAAGTACACCACTATTAGCTTGTACAGGCTACACTTGCTGACATGCTGCTCGCTCCAAGTACACCACTATTAGCTTGTACAGGCTACACACTGCTGACATGCTGCTCGCTCCAAGTACACCACTATTAGCTTGTACAGGCTACACACTGCTGACATGCTGCTCGCTCCAAGTACACCACTATTAGCTTGTACAGGCTACACACTGCTGACATGCTGCTCGCTCCAAGTACACCACTATTAGCTTGTACAGGCTACACACTTGCTGACATGCTGCTCGCTCCAAGTACACCACTATTAGCTTGTACAGGCTACACACTGCTGACATGCTGCTCGCTCCAAGTACACCACTATTAGCTTGTACAGGCTACACACTGCTGACATGCTGCTCGCTCCAAGTACACCACTATCAGCTTGTACAGGCTACACACTGCTGACATGCTGCTCGCTCCAAGTACACCACTATTAGCTTGTACAGGCTACACACTGCTGACATGCTGCTCGCTCCAAGTACACCACTATTAGCTTGTACAGGCTACACACTGCTGACATGCTGCTTGCTCCAAGTACACCACTATTAGCTTGTACAGGCTACACACTGCTGACATGCTGCTCGCTCCAAGTACACCACTATTAGCTTGTACAGGCTACACACTGCTGACATGCTGCTCGCTCCAAGTACACCACTATTAGCTTGTACAGGCTACACACTGCTGACATGCTGCTCGCTCCAAGTACACCACTATTAGCTTGTACAGGCTACACACTGCTGACATGCTGCTCGCTCCAAGTACACCACTATTAGCTTGTACAGGCTACACTTTGCTGACATGCTGCTCGCTCCAAGTACACCACTATTAGCTTGTACAGGCTACACACTGCTGACATGCTGCTCGCTCCAAGTACACCACTATTAGCTTGTACAGGCTACACACTGCTGACATGCTGCTCGCTCCAAGTACACCACTATTAGCTTGTACAGGCTACACACTGCTGACATGCTGCTCGCTCCAAGTACACCACTATTAGCTTGTACAGGCTACACTTTGCTGACATGCTGCTCGCTCCAAGTACACCACTATTAGCTTGTACAGGCTACACACTGCTGACATGCTGCTCGCTCCAAGTACACCACTATTAGCTTGTACAGGCTACACACTGCTGACATGCTGCTCGCTCCAAGTACACCACTATCAGCTTGTACAGGCTACACACTGCTGACATGCTGCTCGCTCCAAGTACACCACTATTAGCTTGTACAGGCTACACACTGCTGACATGCTGCTCGCTCCAAGTACACCACTATTAGCTTGTACAGGCTACACACTGCTGACATGCTGCTTGGTCGACACGTGGTCGAGTGTGTCTAGTTGACCAGAACAGAGAGAGAGAGAGAGAGAGAGAGAGAGAGAGAGAGAGAGAGAGAGAGAGAGAGAGAGAGAGAGAGAGAGAGAGAGAGAGAGAGAGAGAGAGAGAGAGAGAGAGAGAGAGAGAGAGAGAGAGAGAGAGAGAGAGAGAGAGAGAGAGAGAGAGAGAGAGAGAGAGAGAGAGAGAGAGAGAGAGAGAGAGAGAGAGAGAGAGAGAGAGAGAGAGAGAGAGAGAGAGAGAGAGAGAGAGAGAGAGAGAGAGAGAGAGAGAGAGAGAGAGAGAGAGAGAGAGAGAGAGAGAGAGAGAGAGAGAGAGAGAGAGAGAGAGAGAGAGAGAGAGAGAGAGAGAGAGAGAGAGAGAGAGAGAGAGAGAGAGAGAGAGAGAGAGAGAGAGAGAGAGAGAGAGAGAGAGAGAGAGAGAGAGAGAGAGAGAGAGAGAGAGAGAGAGAGAGAGAGAGAGAGAGAGAGAGAGAGAGAGAGAGAGAGAGAGAGAGAGAGAGAGAGAGAGAGAGAGAGAGAGAGAGAGAGAGAGAGAGAGAGAGAGAGAGAGAGAGAGAGAGAGAGAGAGAGAGAGAGAGAGAGAGAGAGAGAGAGAGAGAGAGAGAGAGAGAGAGAGAGAGAGAGAGAGAGAGAGAGAGAGAGAGAGAGAGAGAGAGAGAGAGAGAGAGAGAGAGAGAGAGAGAGAGAGAGAGAGAGAGAGAGAGAGAGAGAGAGAGAGAGAGAGAGAGAGAGAGAGAGAGAGAGAGAGAGAGAGAGAGAGAGAGAGAGAGAGAGAGAGAGAGAGAGAGAGAGAGAGAGAGAGAGAGAGAGAGAGAGAGAGAGAGAGAGAGAGAGAGAGAGAGAGAGAGAGAGAGAGAGAGAGAGAGAGAGAGAGAGAGAGAGAGAGAGAGAGAGAGAGAGAGAGAGAGAGAGAGAGAGAGAGAGAGAGAGAGAGAGAGAGAGAGAGAGAGAGAGAGAGAGAGAGAGAGAGAGAGAGAGAGAGAGAGAGAGAGAGAGAGAGAGAGAGAGTGTGTCTAGTGTACTCAGTTTTATGCACGCTTGCGGTGTGCAATACCATCAAGTATTACTAGAGAATGTGAATATTTAGTACACTAACTACTAAAGTATTAAAGTGTGTATCTTGTGATTGGATAAAGATATCACGTGCTACAGACCGTTGGAGCCAGTCTAAGCGAACATTCCTTTACTTCCAGCCTTCCATACCAGTTCTTAGAAAAGAGTACACGTAATTTGGTGTATTATAAATGTATAGCTCTATACATAGAGAGCAATACAGGAACTGATCGTTAGTGATACAATGTACTAAAATGTACTAAAATGTACAACTTCAGGTTACAGATCTGCCCTGTCACGTGCCGGACTCTGCCCTACTACAGGAACACTACGTCAGAATCGTGGACTTCACTGAAAGGTACGTACAATAATAGGTTTCCATGGTTACAAACAATTGAGTGGAAGGAGGGGTGGTCCGGCAAGTAAATCAGGGCTTGTCTTCTTTAAGAGGTCAATCAAAAGTTGGTTTGTTCTTCTTGTAAAGACTTTACATATTTAAATATGCACATTGTCTGATCGGAGTCGGATGACGGAAACAATTGTCACGTTGTGTTATTCAGCATATTATTATGCTTTAAACTGTACGACGTACGTACATTATGTAATTATGTATGTATAATATGTATATTGTTGAGCATATTAGACTAAATATTATGTGAAACTTGTATAATGTTATTTACTTTATAAGATACAAAATTAGTTCACATTTCCCTTCAATTTAGTTTTAGTTGATTGTTATGATTAACAATATTCAGGTGTGACCGAGCTCTTAACAAGAATCTCACTAAAGTTCAATACGAGGAAATGCTAAAAGAGAGTAGGAAGCTGGAGATAGATCTACCTCAAATACACTCTCTCAAACAGGTCAGTGTTTTGATTATGAATTTCCTTATGAACATATTCTTACCTAAATTTCTGTCTGGTTATTTCTAATCGTTAGAACTAATAACTATAAGTATGTATCATGATTAAGTATCTTTTGAAACTCTGAAAGATGTGTACTGTTCAGAAATTAACGTCAAAAGTATTTAAATATTACCCCCTCAACAACTCCATCACTAGACAGTAGACAAACTGAAGAGAAATACTCAGGTACCAATTCCGTCTTACAATACAAATAGTACAACTATTGACCTGTCTGAATTCTTCAGGAAATAAAGAAGATACAATGGGTAGAAGATGTATCAGAACTACTAAAACGAGCCACCATCTCCTTCTCGGATCTCCAGCAAGGCCTGTGCGACGGAGCTCACTTCCCCAACACCAAACAGATCGAGGAACTCCGGGACAATTTGGAGGACAAACTCATGTCCGGCCAGAGATGGGAGGAGAAAGCACAGGGGTTGTTGAGCGCTAGACCCCGCCCTACTTTATCTAAACTGCACAAGCTTTTGAAGGAAGCTGAACGACTGGGGTTGTCCCTCCCCACCGCTCCCTCCGTTAAGAGCACTATGATCAAGGCAATGGACTGGTGCAAGACCCTGTCTGATATAAAGTTGGAACAGAGTAAGGGTCATTACACTAGCGTCAAACAGCTGGAGGGTATTCTCCTCAAGGGTGAGTTTATAGCTTAATAGCCATTTGTTGAGAATTCTCTTCTATGTTTCCACCCAAGGTAATATTGAATATAGGAAATGTGAATATCACATTGACCTAGTAACCTAGTAACCTGGTAACCTGGTAACATAGCCATCTCCAACAGGTCAAATGTTGCCAGTATCCCTACCTGAGCTTGACCGGTTGGCAGTGAAAGTATCTGCTGCCAAAGCATGGCACGACAAAGCTTCCAAGATATTCGTCAGGAAGGGATTCTCAAAGCTTCTAGAGGTTTCTGCCTTTTACCCAAATGATCTTTCAAAGTTTTAAACTTCAAAAATACGCAATATTGCGGTTTTTCTTCATATAATTTGAGTGGTGTCTGAATATGAGTGGTGCCCCCCCGGCCCCCTGGTGTCTGAATATGAGTGGTGCCCCCCCCCCCCCCCCGGCCCCCTGGTGTCTGACCACAGAACCCCCGCAGGTTTTATCACCCAGAGGATCTCTATCAAACGACAACAGACCGCTAGAGGAGTCGTTACGGGAGAGCACAGCGAAGGAGTTTACAGAGATGAAGAAGAGACGGGGTGCGAACATGCTGCGAACTGAGCAGGAGGAGAAGGGCATGATTAGCGAAGATGATAACGTCTACTGTATCTGCCGACGAGGTAAGCCAAACACAACCTTTTATTTTATCAGGCTTCTCTTTCTGAGTCTCGGAGACTCTAACTTGGGTTTTTGTTGTTGGTGAAAATCAGAAATGAGACGAGAAGTTTACCTCAAGACAAACTTATCCCGCAACAAATAATAAGCCGGAATATCAAAAAAATTCGAAAAGTTTGTTATCTCGCAATTAACGTTGTTATCTCGCAATTAACGTTGATATTGTACAGGGTGGAAAACTAGTAAAGGTAAGGGTATGCTGACCCTTCGTGTAAGCTGTTCTTTGTGTTGTCTAGAAACGCCTCACTGTTACCTAGCAACACTGTTTCTACTATTGATTACAGATTTGTCCCGATTAGTCTATCTCTCCTGCATGTTAAATGTATGCGCTAACGTTACCTGTCTCCAAAGGTCCGCAATCTGCTGCATTGCATCCACCACTCTTTTTGCTGTATCGATCAACTTGTGAGAAAATGTTTTTTCTTTCTCAAAAATTGAAACGATTTTGTTGTTGCTAGGTAACACAGCTTCGGTGTTGCTACTCAACATAGATTGACTATTGTCAAAAAGTAGCCGAAACTTTAAAACCACAACGCGAGTAGTAATGGAGCCCAAGTTACGAAATATGTTTTCAAGTTTTCCATTTGTAAGAGGGTGCAGAAGGTTTACTATACCATTCCTCATTTTCACCAGTTGCTCTCGTTACCTAGCAACATGAACACTAATTGGATGATTTTGAAAGTCTTATTTTCAATCATTTTGTGAATAAGTACAACTTGAAAGCATTTTTGTGTTTCTTTGTTGCATAATATAAAGTCACCACATTGTTTATTTAGTTTGGGTTTATAGGCTACATAAATATTAGCTGAAAGGTTATAAAATAAGCCGGAAGACGTAATTGTCGAAATGCTTCAGACTTAAACTAACTTCAAAATTCTAATGTAAACTATAATCTAAAGATATTCAGATTAACATAATATCTGATTTGAACGAGTTCATCTACACTCTACCTGTACAGTAGGTAGATGGGGTAGATGAACTACCTGTACAGTAGGTAGATGGGGTAGATGAACTACCTGTACAGTAGGTAGATGGGGTAGATGAACTACCTGTACAGTAGGTAGATGGGGTAGATGAACTACCTGTACAGTAGGTAGATGGGGTAGATGAACTACCTGTACAGTAGGTAGATGGGGTAGATGAACTACCTGTACAGTAGGTAGATGGGGTAGATGAACTACCTGTACAGTAGGTTGATGGGGTAGATGAACTACCTGTACAGTAGGTAGATGGGGTAGATGAACTACCTGTACAGTAGGTAGATGGGGTAGATGAACTACCTGTACAGTAGGTTGATGGGGTAGATGAACTACCTGTACAGTAGGTAGATGGGGTAGATGAACTACCTCCTGTACAGTAGGTAGATGGGGTAGATGAACTACCTCCTGTACAGTAGGTAGATGGGGTAGATGAACTACCTGTACAGTAGGTAGATGGGGTAGATGAACCACCTGTACAGTAGGTAGATGGGGTAGATGAACTACCTGTACAGTAGGTAGATGGGGTAGATGATCTACCTGTACAGTAGGTAGATGGGGTAGATGATCTACCTGTACAGTAGGTAGATGGGGTAGATGAACTACCTGTACAGTAGGTAGATGGGGTAGATGAACTACCTGTACAGTAGGTAGATGGGGTAGATGATCTACCTGTACAGTAGGTAGATGGGGTAGATGATCTACCTGTACAGTAGGTAGATGGGGTAGATGAACCACCTGTACAGTAGGTAGATGGGGTAGATGAACCACCTGTACAGTAGGTAGATGGGGTAGATGAACTACCTGTACAGTAGGTAGATGGGGTAGATGAACTACCTGTACAGTAGGTAGATGGGGTAGATGAACTACCTGTACAGTAGGTAGATGGGGTAGATGAACTACCTGTACAGTAGGTAGATGGGGTAGATGAACTACCTGTACAGTAGGTAGATGGGGTAGATGAACTACCTGTACAGTAGGTAGATGGGGTAGATGAACTACCTGTACAGTAGGTAGATGGGGTAGATGAACTACCTGTACAGTAGGTAGATGGGGTAGATGAACTACCTGTACAGTAGGTAGATGGGGTAGATGAACTACCTGTACAGTAGGTAGATGGGGTAGATGAACTACCTGTACAGTAGGTAGATGGGGTAGATGAACTACCTCCTGTACAGTAGGTAGATGGGGTAGATGAACTACCTGTACAGTAGGTAGATGGGGTAGATGAACTACCTGTACAGTAGGTAGATGGGGTAGATGAACTACCTGTACAGTAGGTAGATGGGGTAGATGAACTACCTGTACAGTAGGTAGATGGGGTAGATGAACTACCTCCTGTACAGTAGGTAGATGGGGTAGATGAACTACCTGTACAGTAGGTAGATGGGGTAGATGAACTACCTGTACAGTAGGTAGATGAGGTAGATGAACTACCTGTACAGTAGGTAGATGGGGTAGATGAACTACCTCCTGTACAGTAGGTAGATGGGGTAGATGAACTACCTGTACAGTAGGTAGATGGGGTAGATGAACTACCTGTACAGTAGGTAGATGGGGTAGATGAACTACCTGTACAGTAGGTAGATGGGGTAGATGAACTACCTGTACAGTAGGTAGATGAGGTAGATGAACTACCTGTACAGTAGGTAGATGGGGTAGATGAACTACCTCCTGTACAGTAGGTAGATGGGGTAGATGATCTACCTGTACAGTAGGTAGATGGGGTAGATGAACTACCTGTACAGTAGGTAGATGGGGTAGATGAACTACCTGTACAGTAGGTAGATGGGGTAGATGAACTACCTGTACAGTAGGTAGATGGGGTAGATGAACTACCTCCTGTACAGTAGGTAGATGGGGTAGATGAACTACCTGTACAGTAGGTAGATGGGGTAGATGAACTACCTGTACAGTAGGTAGATGGGGTAGATGAACTACCTGTACAGTAGGTAGATGGGGTAGATGAACTACCTGTACAGTAGGTAGATGGGGTAGATGAACTACCTGTACAGTAGGTAGATGGGGTAGATGAACTACCTGTACAGTAGGTAGATGGGGTAGATGAACTACCTGTACAGTAGGTAGATGGGGTAGATGAACTACCTGTACAGTAGGTAGATGGGGTAGATGAACTACCTGTACAGTAGGTAGATGGGGTAGATGAACTACCTGTACAGTAGGTAGATGGGGTAGATGAACTACCTGTACAGTAGGTAGATGGGGTAGATGAACTACCTGTACAGTAGGTAGATGGGGTAGATGAACTACCTGTACAGTAGGTAGATGGGGTAGATGAACTACCTGTACAGTAGGTAGATGGGGTAGATGAACTACCTGTACAGTAGGTAGATGGGGTAGATGAACTACCTCCTGTACAGTAGGTAGATGGGGTAGATGAACTACCTGTACAGTAGGTAGATGGGTAGATGAACTACCTGTACAGTAGGTAGATGGGGTAGATGAACTACCTGTACAGTAGGTAGATGGGGTAGATGAACTACCTGTACAGTAGGTAGATGGGGTAGATGAACTACCTCCTGTACAGTAGGTAGATGGGGTAGATGAACTACCTGTACAGTAGGTAGATGGGGTAGATGAACTACCTGTACAGTAGGTAGATGAGGTAGATGAACTACCTGTACAGTAGGTAGATGGGGTAGATGAACTACCTCCTGTACAGTAGGTAGATGGGGTAGATGAACTACCTGTACAGTAGGTAGATGGGGTAGATGAACTACCTGTACAGTAGGTAGATGGGGTAGATGAACTACCTGTACAGTAGGTAGATGGGGTAGATGAACTACCTGTACAGTAGGTAGATGAGGTAGATGAACTACCTGTACAGTAGGTAGATGGGGTAGATGAACTACCTCCTGTACAGTAGGTAGATGGGGTAGATGATCTACCTGTACAGTAGGTAGATGGGGTAGATGATCTACCTGTACAGTAGGTAGATGGGGTAGATGATCTACCTGTACAGTAGGTAGATGGGGTAGATGAACTACCTGTACAGTAGGTAGATGGGGTAGATGAACTTTGACCCGGTAATAACCCAGGAGTAGACGGTGCCATGACGCAATGCGACATGTGTTACGATTGGTTCCACAATAAGTGTGTTTCCATTGCTAAGCACAAGGACGTCAAGAACAGCGAGATCATGAAGGACGTTAAGGTGAGATTGTGGTCCGCGGTTATTTGCGGTTATTTGCGGTTATTTGCGGTTATTTGCGGTTATTTGTGGTTATTTGCGGTTATTTGCGGCTATTTCCACAATATTTTATTAATAATGATGGTAGTTACAATGTTACTGAGAAATGTTCCCCTCAAAGTTTGAATCTGACTAGCAACAGGAATTGGTGAGTATTGAGTTTCAACCAAACAAAACATCACGTATTATATAATTATAATTATTATAATTATATTATTATAATTAGCCCACTTGTTTCAGTATTTGTGCCCGCTGTGCAGCAGAACAAAGCGCCCGTCCGTGGACCAAGCACTGGGACTACTCATCACCCTAAGGCAGGCTGGTTAGTGCCAACTATTTCCTTCTACGCAATCATCTTATACTTTTTGTTCACGTATCCTTGAGAATTTACTTGAATGGAATTAAATACATGATCTTTTTCGTCAACCATACAAATTGAAAATCACCTAGAAATTGAGAATTGTAGTAAAATTTACAAAATAATGGACTCGGAGGACGAGGATTGGAGTAACATTGAACAATCATTCGGAATAAATACTAGCTTATCATATCAGGCTCCTTGTAAGTTTCATCGGGTTCTTGCCAGGATTATATTATATATTAGATATTCTCTCTGAATCAGTGTAGTAAATTCCACCTTAATCCCCCATTTGGTTAAATAAGTCGAGCTCTGGTCGACAGGGAAACTTTTATTTAAATTGGGTTCTTTCCCAATGTCAGGTTAACAACAGGATAACAACACTTAAGTCAGTTACTAACGGTATTATGGAGATTATTGAGTTATTGGATGTTTGTGAAAATGTAATGAATCATCCGTTGAATATCATTAACATTATATTTAACATGATTAAGTGAATTGAAAACAGCGTTAACATCAAAATTTCAAGTTCGATAACAAAACTTTCACCTTAAAAATCAACATCATCCCAACTGCATAAAATATCAAACCCAAAAGGTCCTTAAAAACCACCGTCCGTCAGGTCTTGGACGTGCCCGGATTGTCATATTTACAGTTGACACAGTTGTTGTCTGTCTCAGAGTTATAATCCCCACATCCAGGGCACTTCCACACTGCTTCACAGGAGGCCAGGGTTTCTTTACATACAGAACATCTGCGTAGGGTGGGGTCGTTATAGGTCTTACAGTGTGTACATCTCCACCTGGTGGAGAGTGGGAGGGTTAGTGGGGGAGGGTTAGTGGGGGAGGGTTAGTGGGGGAGAGTGGGGGGAGGGTGGGAGGGTTAGTGGGGGGAGGGTGGGAGGGTTAGTGGGGGAGGGTTAGTGGGGGATGGTGGGAGGGTTAGTGGGGGAGGGTTAGTGGGGGAGGGTGGAAGGGTTAGTGGGAGAGTGGGGGAGGGTTAGGTGGGGGAGGGTGGGAGGGTTAGTGGGCGAGTGGGGGAGGGTGGGAGGGGAAGTGGGGAAGTGGGGGAGGGTGGGAGGGTTGTAGGTCTTACAGTGGGTGCCGAGTGGGTGATGGGTTGACTTAAATGGGTGTCTACTCACGCGACAAGAACAGGTGTTTTAGCGACAGCAGTAGGAGTCTTCACGCACTGATCACACGTCCCCACTCCCGAGCAAGCTTCACACAGGTTAGGGGTGGGTTCTCCGCATTCCTCACATTCCTCGTAGATCCACGTGTTACAATGGTCACATCTTGGGCACACCCACTCTGCTGATATGTTGTCTTGCCTGCAGGGGGTCTGTCTTCAAACCTTGGAAAACTCAGCACGGAGTATGTCTTCAAACCTTGAAATACTCAGCAGGGAGTCTGTCTAAAAAACTTGAAACACTCAGCATGAAGGGCATAAACGAAGATAGATGCTGATAGATAATGCACTTTTGTTGTTTTTATTCTGAACGTCGGGCTTATGTATGAATAAGCAAAAGAAAGAACTAACCCGCTCTCTGAAAAAGTGAAAACAAGTTTCTGTTTGGGCGTAAACTGATCCATAAAAAGGAAGAAAGACGTGGAAATATCAATAACACTCGTTCGTCCAGGCAGACACACAACTGTATAACGGATTTTAATTAGTGACGGGCGGTTTGGACCGAGCCAAGATGGTTTAATTGCAACTATGTAGTAGGCGTGCCATGTGTTCAACACATTGTCAGCGTGATTTTAATTATCACATTATTTATGGAACAAAAAGTAACACTCTCAAAATATACTTGGAGATATGGTTTCTCTAAAATACTTGGAAAGAGTGTAATATTTACAGGGCTGATATGAGTAATGCGCTAGACATTATGGGCATGAACATGGGGTAAAACATGGATAATTTTGGCCAATGTAAGGATTCTACGTTAAGTTACAAATGGCACTCACTCGCCAGCTTTGAGGAAAATTTGCCACAAAAAAAAGGCAAGAAGAATGCTAAATGGTAGCCATACGATGTTTTCTTGTTATGGCGTGGACTGCAGCCTTACGAATGTAACAGTTCGTTGTTAGGATGACAACCCACTGTCAAGGAGAACCACTTATCTCTTCAATATAAGTATCCAATATCCATGTGGTATGAAGTCCATATCTGTCACAAGATATCACAACATCAAGATACCACAACATTGCTTTTGAACACTTAACCATAAATTAAAAGCGGAAACATTAAATAACAAAAGTAAAATATTCAGTAGCTCATTATATAGGGCTTATTTCGAAAAGATACTGCAACAACTCAATCTTATGTAGGAATCGCTGGCAAAATGTCACCTGGCCTGCGTCATTCTTCTTAAAAGTAGCAACATACTGCCATAAGCCCAATTTTCTTAAATTTACCTAAGGCTAAACAACTCCGAGGGAAGTCACGAAGTAACAAACCCAGAAGATTTATACGCTTTTGAGTTCTGACCATGATGTAGCCAGAGTTCTGATTACCTATCGCATCGGGTCATTTGACTGTCTAGATAATATGTTATTGATTCAAACCCGCCAACTTCTTGAATCCGTATCTGAGTAGATATCTGCCTGATGTAGAACACTAGGTCCTACTTGTCAACGAGATGAACTACACACGGAGCTTGTCTGATTTCCTAATATCTGCTAACCTGAAGTAATTACATATTGGAATTAGACAGTTCCAAAATGTCTTACTACGATTACATATCTTATCTCCCTCAGGATTGGCATTGCCTGAGGGCGTGGCACTCAGCTATCTGATCGAGCGCGCCATGGAATGGCAGGAGAAAGTTAGAGCTATTATTGCCAAACACCGAGCTCTGCCTAACGCCGTTGACAAACAAGGTTTGCCTTTATTTCTTATCCTTGGCTGTTTGTATATATATATATTTACTAAGCTCTTAGCAGATTGAAAGATAACACCACTACTTGAAGTATGATTAATTACAGATTAATTAATTAATTAATTACAGAGATTTATCACTTCAGCGTACATTGATCAGCACGTCTCCCTGAAAGATAGGAACCAGATAGAGGAGTACATGGTTAAAGGAGATCTCATTGAACTCCATCTCGAGGAAACTACTGATCTGTGGAATTTGCTAAGTAAGTATTTCTTTCTGACAGTTTTGACTCTAATCGGTCATCCCTGCAGACTATACTATTGAGTAACCCACTACTTACTAATACTACGTAAAAAGCATGGCCTGACCTTAAATAATGATATGCTTTAACTTAAAATAAGGGTTTATTAAAGTTGACGGAATAACTGCAATGCTCCACCATCAATAACTACCTACACTTAACAACTTTTTATTTGACAGCTTATCATGATCACAGATAATGGTATATAGGCTCAGAACAACATCACGTGACGTCATAACAAGTTGGCGTGACGTCACATTCCACCCTGATGACGTCACGTCACAGGATCACAACTAATCTTACTTCCCTCCCAGATATAGTTGACGAGCACGTGGTCCCAGAGAAGAAACTGCCTGTCTCCAAGCGATCCTCTCCAGGAGGCCCTTCTAAGCCTCCCTCCCTCCCTTCCTCCAAACCACCCTCCCCAACCGGGTCCCACACTTCCAACAAGCGCAGGAAGACACCCTCAGATGAACGTAGTAATGGAAGCAATAGCTCTATCAGTGCTACCCGGAAGCGGAGGAAGGATCGTCAGAACACCGGTAGTGATGAACTCTGCAGCGTTCTGGTAAAATATCAACATGTTTTTTAGCGTTGTTTTAATGTCATTTTAGCGTTGTATTTTAATCTAGTTCATTAACTTCAAGCACTTTAGTCTTTACCAATTATAAAGAAACTTTTCCCACTGTTATCTCTCATTTATTTGGTCAATATCTGTAGGACTGTCTGAGACCAGAGGGAGCGAAAGTGGGCTGGATCCAATGTGACAAGTGTGAGAAATGGTACCACCTCGAGTGTGTGGCAATCTCCAACAAGGAGGCAGAGCAGATCGAGGACTACACCTGTCCCGTCTGTATTAACACAACGTGACGTCATCAGGGTGGAACGTGACGTCACGCCAACTTTTTGTGACGTTATTATTACGTCACGCCAGTTTGATGTGACGTCACGTGATGTTGAAGTTAGGTCTGTTGGAGTGTTGTCCAGTTGTGGGAAGACTCTGGTTAAGTAAGCGGGGTTTGATGATAATAAATTATTTTGAAGACGACAGTCTGTTGTGAAAGAATGCAGTGACCTGATAGTAATTGATATTCAGCTGTCAACTGTATTATTTAAGATTAACATTTAAAATTTTCTTTGCCCTGCAATCGAATTATGATATGAAAATTTCAGTTCAGCAGATTAGAATCTTTGATATTAATATACATTTCTGCAAGTAGAAATGTTGATGTACTTTTTTCGAAAAAGCAATGTATCACGGCAGAATTACCAGACTTTTGCAGCATGTAAATGTTTTGAGTTGAAAATTATTGGCTACAGCGTAATAAAGATATGTGTTTGAGTATTGGATTTTAAGTTTGATATTTGAGCGCTTTCATCTGTCAAGTGCCCTCTTTTATGTAAGACGCCAATCTTGCGATTTATAGTGAAAATTGAAGTGCAGCAGTATTATGAACGTCTATTCGGAGTTATGGTCTAGTCTTGCAGTCAGTGTATAACTGTAGACTTAAATATAGACCGACTGGTCATGTGTAATTCCGTTCAACTTCAAACTTTACTCCTCAACTATTCAGTTCTGTGTATCTTTTAACATTCTTCAGTATATTAGTACTATAGTACTATTAGCTTAATGTGTGTAATATTAAGCGGATAAGATGTTCGTGGTATGTGTACTGAAGATGTTATTAAAGTATATTTTATGTATAATGTAATACGATACTGATTAATTATCGTGTACTGATACTCCTATACCCACTGATGACTGACTTTGGTCGGTTAATTTTCAGAATTTCATCGTCTTCCTTTGATATTGGTAACAGTAAAAGCCAACGGTCATATACATTGACCGTTTAATTGAAAAGTTCTCAGGTATGGAGAAAAGGAAGGATAGAGAGTGGAAACAAGGAAACGGGGACACAGCTGGAGAATGGAAGAATCATCAAAATGGGACATTTGAGATAACTTCAAGGCGCGCGCTATATGCCATGGCTCTTACTAATTCGCTCGCCCAAAAATTTCACGTGACTTTGGTTTTTATGTTAATTGACGATGTCAATTCATGGCAGCTCGGCGCGGCACAGTAGCGTATCTCGCCGATCTAGCCAGAGAAGCCTCATTGAGTGCGCGGCGCGGCACAGTAACGCATCGCGCTACAAGTTTTTATGGTTTAACAGCCGTACAAAACGTTGATTGACGATGTCAATCCGTCGAGATCGTTGCTCTGCTTCGCAGAGCAACGATCGACGATGCGAAGCAAGAATGCTAGTTTGCGCGGCGCGTCGAAGCGGCGAAGTCCTCCAATACAAAACGGTTTTACATAAACCATAATCCCATGACCCTAACCCTAACCATAACCCCGAAGTAAAAGTTAACCATAACCCTTACCACAATCCTAACCCGAGCCCTAGACAATCGAATTTATGTTTTACTAGCCTGTCACGTGACCAAAACGGTTTTTTGCCCATAACTCTCCAGGGAAGAATTTTTACCCTACGTCATGGGGGGTGATTCGGATTTTTTTTAAATTTGGGCGAGCGATTTAGTAGGAGCGGAAAACTATAGATTTTATAAAAGCTTTCTTTCTCCTCTGTCCTCTAACTGACGCAATAAAATGTAGTCAGGCGGACTGATCCCGGAATTCAGTGGAAGCAGCCGAAGGCTTCAAGTCCAATAATCCAAATTTTTGTCGTAATTATCGACGAAATTTAACTTCTTTTTACTGGGCCGCGCTCAGCCTGTCATTCCGCCTAATCTCTATTATGTTTATGAACATAATAGCCTGAGGTCCCCAGGTAAACTTCTTTCGGACTTTGTTTTTAGACTGAACTGTAGTATGACTATGAAGGATTATCTCTCGAATGATTAAGACTCCGTAGGAAACTAACCCTCAGAAGTCAAGTAATGATCGTTTCTAAAAGCTTGTATACTACGTGACGCGCTTGTTTCACAAGTAAATATGGGGTCTCCTTAGCACGCATGTCATAAATTTTGACACAGTAGAGGTGAAATCAGAGGGGTGCCATAGATCATAGTATAACGTAACGTGCCAAAATATTTAAGTAGACTACAAACCATCGACTTGTAACATGTAAGGTGTGAGCATAATGACTGGTGATTTATGATCTGGTCCGAAGACCGCTAGAAACTCAGCCAGCTTTATGTCGAGCCTTGTTATAGTTGTTTAATGTAGTCTTAATGTGGGGTAACAGGTTCTAACTTCTAGCACGAGCAGATATCAAGTTAAAGAAGTAAGATTATTCAAACAATATACACATAATATAACAATTACCCTATATAAAAATTCAATATAAATTCAATAGAAAACTAAATAAACACCCTTTAAGTAGTATAAGTAAGCCAGTTTAAAGAACTGGCTCCAAATTTATAGCTAATTCTGCTATTTTTACTGCACTACTATTTTTTAACCCTCAATCAAGTTAAATGCTTCAAATATCATATTGACTATTACCTGGGGATAGTTTTATGTTCATAATTCATAATCCGACAGGCTGAGCGCCGCCCAGTAAATTGACTAATATACTAATATACTTTTCACAATTACTTTAAATACTTTAAAACGTGGAACGTGGTCCTCACTCTTAAAGACTACGGCAGCAAGACCAAAAAAACGTAAACTGAAGATCAAACAACCAGGACCCGCCACTTCCATCGGGTGTGTTCCAGACCTGGGACTCCGCCGGAAACTCCCGGCAGAAGCGTTTAGTTTCGACAAAACAGAGCTGAGCACGAGACAGATCCTTCTATACAACGAATCTCAGGATTCAGTCCGTCTCATTAACGTCCCAACACCTGCAGAAAAGCCTTCCCTATTCGTGGATAGGAACTAAGGTATCATGAAGCTGAGAAAAACGTCTTACAAGTAAAAATCAGCTACTAAGCTATGGACTATGATTCCACTCTACATACTATATTGTATATGTTAATTGAATAGCAATAATACAAATCCATGCACCTTGTAGCTAAATCTGTCCATCATAATACTTTCTCTATTCACTGATCCACAAAACTAGCACAAGCTTGCTCCAGCAAAGCATCAAACATCCCGGTTTCTTTAACTAGATCGAAGAAGATACTTTTCGGTTTTTCGAAGCATGCTGTGATCAAACTCAAACCCAATTCTACCGCCTCTATCACTCATCCACCACGGGTCATATAGATAATAGTGTTGTTTTGTGTGTATGGTGAGAAACTGTGCAGTGGAGAAACTTTTGTCGGAGGTCCGCTGGATCAACTGATCTGTCTTCTGGAGGACAAGAACTTGTTACTAATATACTGGTATTAAATGAGTTGGTCCAGTTAATTATGGTAAAGCTTATATTGTGCTCATATAACACCATTTTAAGATAATTTCCTCTACGAGTTAGTTAGGCTAGGTGAAAGAAGGTAAAATGAATGAATCGTAAAAGAAAATGCTAAAAAACTTATTCAGATTCATACTTCGTCCACTATTAGCTGTAGCCTCGTCAATAACAAGAATCTTATTGATCTTTAGTAATGGCCCTGGCAAGACAAGAGCTGTCTTTGACCAGCTGGACAGCATTCCGACCACCCTCTTTGGACCATCATTCCAGTCCTCACAGTCTGGTTGAAATGAAGGATTTTAAACTCTACCTTCTCTAGCGCGCCCCACAAGTGATCATCGTCGAATTTGAAGAACGGATCAAGAGATTTCCTCGCAGAGTCCAGATTTGTATTTGCCTATAACAATGAAATATGTGAACAATTCCAAACACATTCGGCTCACAAAATAATGCTAGACTATTCGACATTTCTTGTCAGGATGTCATAAACATCCCTCATATAAATTTCTTAAATGTGTGACGGAGTTTACATGGTGCTACCATTTAACGAAAAAAGTCGCTAAATATGTAGCTAATAGTCATATGCAACTAATTGGAAATTCGAAAATTTGGTTAAACACGGCAACAAGGGGTCCATATAAACTCTGTCACGTTTTTATAGTGTGACAAAGTTTACAACTCACTGCCGGCCGCATTTAAGCGATATCTTATCGTCTGATAAAGATATCGTTATGCGACAAAGTTTATCTAGAGGATCAAACGATTATCTTAGGCATAGAGGGTTTATATAATTTCATAGTGTGACACATTTTACATCTTCGTGCCATTCAGTAGGGTCACTAATATTCACCAATATCCTCAAACTTCAATGAACGTGTCCTTATACAGGAAATATAGAAACCCATGCCAATTTTTCATCACATACTGTAGTGCGACACGTACTCTAGTGCGACACGTACCCTAGTGCGAAACCTCAAAAATCGACACTGGGGAATGTTGAGACCAAATATGATGAGCACAGCTGTCCTTATATAGCAGTTCCACTTCCAGTTCACTAACATTTAGTTCTTTTTAAGTTTAAGTTCTTTGTTTAAGACTCTGGGACGATATTTCAACGAATGGTTATCTTTTCATGACTGTCGTCACGTCCAGACTGTATCCATAATTTAAGGCATCCGCTCCCTTCTTTGATTTACGATAATTATCGTGAACAAAATTAGAGTCTGTTATTTTTCATAAATAGGTATAGTTCTTCAAAATAGGGGCAAGAAATTTAAATTTCGTCAAATACGTAATTTTAAAATTTAGATAGATTTTCTTTCATATCAACAGTCCTTATTATAGTTGGAATGGATTTATACAAGAAATGTAGAAACCCATGCCAACTTTTCGTCACATTTAAATTATACTGTTGGGGCAGGAAAAGTAAATTTGGTCACATTTCAGTAACTTAGTAAAATTAAACTCAGCATTGTTAAACTTGAGTTCTAATTTGCTGAACAATAACCAACAAATAATTCCTGGAAGAACATTGAATTCTAACCGAGGTACGGTTCTTCAAAATAGGGTCAAGAAATGTAAATTTCGTCACATACGTCATTGTAAAATTTAGATACAATTTCTTTCACGTGAACAGTCCTAATTATAGTCTGAAATGATTAATACAGAGATACAGGAAATATAAAAACCCATGCCCATTTTATAATGTACGTAATATGTTAATCACAGACTATTTCATTCTACAATCATTGTTTCCAAATTTAACCTATTTTTCTATTTACGATGTCGTATCATTTTGTGACGACGTTTACATCAACTGCCCTATACTTGAATCAACTGTATCCGTGTATCGTCCTTTTACAGACTTTTCCCGCCTTTCAAACCAAAATCAGATATAAATTATTTCGGAAATTCACCCAGAATTTCAAATTCCATATAATGTGACAGAATTTACATCATTTCCCAATAACCAAGTGCATGTATATGCTAACTTTTCAAAACAACATATTTTAGGGCTATGATTGGCAGAAGAACCATCAAATAATGAGTTGAAAGGGTTTTGAGGACACCTCACAGTAGAAAAGAGGTCTCGTATTCTGAGTGTGACAAAGTTTACAAAATATTGCCTTAAAGCCGTTCGATCACTGCCCTTTAGGCCTACGTTGTATCATAATTGTTAAATTGACCTAATCTACTATATTTTAGACCAAAAAATGCTAATTGGGCAGCTATGGTATTAACAATGTCACAAAAATGTGACATTTTTTACATTATAGTATCTAAAAGCAATACATTTTATTTCTGAGCATTGCATATGGGAGTATGGGTCACGTGGCTAATGTTCAGAACTTATGAACACGCTAGATTGAGTGATGCTAAAATGAAGCCACTATCGTCGAAAACGCTATTTTAGAAATTTACCAATATCCTCAAACTTCAGTGAACGTGTCCATATAAGTATGACATGCATAGTATAGCTATAGTACATATAACTATTTTTACTATATAATATAGGGTCAATATAGTAAATATACGATAAAATGCTTTCCTTATGCCTAAGGGTTTATCAGTTCCTAACTTTATAAGAACTGCTTTGCGGAGGCCGGCTGGCCGGTCTCCAACAGAATTTGAAACACACTGGAAGAGGTTAAAGAGTGGCAGATGAGGTTAAAGAGTACACTCTGGAGGAGGTTAAAGAGTGCACTCTGGAGGAGGTTAAAGAGTGGCAGATGAGGTTAAAGAGTGCACTCTGGAGGAGGTTAAAGAGTGCACTCTGGAGGAGGTTAAAAAGTGGCGGAGGAGGTTAAAGAGTGCACTCTGGAGGAGGTTAAAGAGTGCCGGAGGAGGTTAAATAGTGCACTCTGGAGGAGGTTAAAGAGTGCACTCTGGAGGAGGTTAAAGAGTGCACTCTGGAGGAGGTCAAAGAGTGCACTCTGGAGGAGGTCAAAGAGTGCACTCTGGAGGAGGTTAAAGAGTGCACTCTGGAGGAGGTTAAAGAGTGCACTCTGGAGGAGGTCAAAGAGTGCACTCTGGAGGAGGTTAAAGAGTGGCAGATGAGGTTAAAGAGTGCACTCTGGAGGAGGTTAAAGAGTGGCGGAGGAGGTTAAAGAGTGCACTCTGGAGGAGGTTAAAGAGTGACGGAGGAGGTTAAAGAGTGCACTCTGGAGGAGGTTAAAGAGTGCACTCTGGAGGAGGTTAAAGAGTGCACTCTGGAGGAGGTTAAAGAGTGCACTCTGGAGGAGGTTAAAGAGTGCACTCTGGAGGAGGTTAAAGAGTGCACTCTGGAGGAGGTCAAAGAGTGCACTCTGGAGGAGGTCAAAGAGTGCACTCTGGAGGAGGTTAAAGAGTGCACTCTGGAGGAGGTTAAATAGTGCACTCTGGAGGAGGTTAAAGAGTGCACTCTGGAGGAGGTCAAGAGTGCACTCTGGAGGAGGTCAAAGAGTGCACTCTGGAGGAGGTCAAAGAGTGCACTCTGGAGGAGGTCAAAGAGTGCACTCTGGAGGAGGTTAAATAGTGCACTCTGGAGGAGGTTAAAGAGTGCACTCTGGAGGAGGTTAAAGAGTGCACTCTGGAGGAGGTTAAAGAGTCCACTCTGGAGGAGGTTAAAGAGTGCACTCTGGAGGAGGTTAAAGAGTCCACTCTGGAGGAGGTGAAAGAGTGCACTCTGGAGGAGGTTAAAGAGTGCACTCTGGAGGAGGTTAAAGAGTGCACTCTGGAGGAGGTTAAAGAGTGACGGAGGAGGTTAAAGAGTGCACTCTGGAGGAGGTTAAAGAGTGCACTCTGGAGGAGGTTAAAGAGTGACGGAGGAGGTTAAAGAGTGCACTCTGGAGGAGGTTAAAGAGTGGCGGAGGAGGTTAAAGAGTGCACTCTGGAGGAGGTTAAAGAATGGCGGAGGAGGTTAAAGAGTGCACTCTGGAGGAGGTTAAAGAGTGCACTCTGGAGGAGGTTAAAGAGTGGCGGAGGAGGTTAAAGAGTGCACTCTGGAGGAGGTTAAAGAGTGCACTCTGGAGGAGGTTAAAGAGTGCACTCTGGAGGAGGTTAAAGAGTGCAGCGGAGGAGGTTAAAGAGTGCACTCTGGAGGAGGTTAAAGAGTGGAGGTTAAAGAGAAGCGGAGGATTGTCCCCGCTAGGGAGGGTAATGGGTATTATGATTGACATTGTTTATTTTTAACATGAGCTTTATCACAATAGGTCAATGGTTGTACAAAATGGAAATCCTGAAATAAACGCGAGCATCTTGAGTCAGTTTTCGTTCTTGTAAGTTTTTACTAAACTGTTAAATTAGAATGAATTTAGAATTAGGATTCTGTTGCTGTGTTTATTAAAAACGCATTATAGATTTAAAATTAAGTGCACCTACAATCCAATTGTGACATTGTTGCTTGTATGATATAATATTATAAAAATGGAAAAACGAGCGACCGATTTCATTCTCGTTATCATTTTGCGTTTGGAATTGGATACGGTAAGGCCAAAGCAAAGATAACTTAAATTGATATCATTTCCTTTTATTTTTAAATAAGGAGACAGCGACAAACGATAACGGTCCACTCTACAAAATTTTGAGTTTAGATACAACGCGAACGGTGCATCAATTAAAATAATAAATACCAAGCTCTGATATTTAAATGACCATCTTACAGTTGGGTTCACAAGATTTTTAGAACTGGAAATAAAAGAACTCTTACTGAAGATGACGTGTTTTCAATTGACCCAAGTTTGAAAAGCGAACGATTGACGGCTCTTCTGGAAGAGTGAGTAGAAATAGAATGTAGACAACATGACAGAGTTTCTTGATTTTTATTTTTTTAGTATTACCATTTGAGCTATATAAATGGTAGTGTAAATCTAGCACCCTGGCCATTATTGTCAAAATTATTTTAATTTACGGAAATCTTTTCCTGTCTCAGGTTGAAATTACTTAAGACTAAGTTGCCATGAGTCATGAATGGCAGCTAACGTAACACGCTTTGTATTGACCAATTTAACTGCCTCAATGTATGAATGTAAACTAACTTGGCCCCATACATCTTGGTCCTTACAGCCATGTCACGTGCCCCTACAATAAGAACGTGTAAATAGTTCTCTTATCTTTCTCATTTTCGGATTCATATCCAACTTACGAAACAACTTTCTCTACACGTGCAACTTTCTCTACACGTGCAATGAACTACTGCACGTGCAATGAACTGCTGCAAGACTGCAAGTGTAAAACCCTCACAATTTAGAGCATGGACATGATCTCTCGTTTAGTATTATGTGTAACGCTTAACAGGAAATCATTGTTGCATCTCTCGTTTGGCCTGAGGCTCAGCTTTTGCAGCCTATCCAATGTTGACTCACAACAATAGGACAACATATATAATACGTCGAAAACATTTTTTATACCGTATATCTTGTCTCAGGCAATGGGCTTTGGAAGCAAAAAGGACAAAGAATCCTTCCCTTGTTGTTGTTATTCTGAAAAGACATCTCTTCACCTTGATTTGGTTGTTTGTGGCTTTCAGCATAGAGGTTATTTTTTCCCGATCCATGACTCAAAGTGCCGAAGGCACAAAAGAGTCAAGGACAAGGGTTAGCGAACGAGGTTTTTTTAAATTATTTATTTGTACATGGTAGCTTTGCGACCGTGCGACCGTACGTGCCTGCGAGCACTGTTATCGCCCACGTGACTACCTGCGCAAAGTTATTTTGCGTGATAATCTGAATTATATAATTTTTGGCGCGCGGCGCTGAACCAACCAAGTACATTATTAATTTCATCATGTACGTATCCCACTAGACACTAATTGATAGCATATTATTATTATTTTGAGTTAGTATTGCTATTTTGCACAGATCCGTGTCAGGTTGCATAAACAATAAACATATGGTTACATAGAAATATACACGATTTTCAAATTCAATATGGAATTATATTAACTTGGTGGCGCTCGGCCTGTCACTTCGCCATATCTGCATGCTTATAAACAGTAAAGACTGGGCCGTCCCCAGGTTGTATGGAATGTGATAAAATACGCCATCACGGATCGGGAAATTGAGCGGCCATCCACAAAAAAAAGCGCGAAAAGTGGCATGCAACGTATGTCAATAGTTTACTTAAATATAAGCTTTTCTACCGTTTCCTTGACCGAAATTACATAGTTCTGACTGAATTTTTGGGTCACATTTCGAAGAAGGCGCACGCTACTTCGAACAAATTTAGACGCGTATCACCCGTCGAGGTGAGTGACACAAGTCACAGGTTCTGGAAGCTCAATACCTGGAGGAAGTTTTGATGAAAGGAAAGTCATAAAAATATCCTACCGGTAGGACATTTTACCAGCCCAAGTTACACAATGGATAGAACATAATAGCAACACAATGTCAATACATTTGTTGAACTGCATTGCTACCGGAAAGATTTATACCTTTGGATCCGTTCAGTAGTTCAAATCAAAATTTATTTTCAGGGTGCTTTAAGATGTGCTTGTCCCTTCTTTGTGGTGCGAATAACGTCCTACTTTGACCCTGCAGTAGAAATGACACAACAGGAAGCTCTCCTTTGGACATGTTGGTATTCTTCATTTGGTGGATTCGTGTAGTGTTATTGAGTCTCATGATTTTATTAGTAGAGGCTCTTACGGGCATTGTCTGCTCGATACGCTAGGGACCCCAGATACACCTTACTAGACGTATTTTTGACCGTAGTATCGATTGAAAGTAATTTCAAGATGATTGGACTGACTTTTCTGGGTTAAAATGGCAAAAAACCGAATTTTGGGCCAAAAATAGGCCAAAAAACCATCTTTTTTGATATTTTGAGCAAGTTAATTTTGTTGGCATGTCGGCAAAACTTGCATGGAGATAGCTAAAAGACAGCCGCACAAGATGGTATAAAAATAAAACAAATCCCTCTATTTTTTCTGGGGTAAAAATCCAAAAAAGTGGTAAAAATTTTGACTTTTTTGCTTGAAGTTTGAATCATTTTTTGCAGTTGCATTAAATCAACCCAAAAATAGTTGCATCGTGTTTGCCTAAATTTTTCCTTTCCGAGAAGTACCCACTTCATATACTTTATCGAAGTTTGAATATTGTCACTCCGCAAGCGTTTTAGCCAAATTTTCGACGCCCACTACGCGCAAAAGCATTTAGTTGTTATCAATTGGCACCCGCGCGTTCATCATAAATTTCAAACAGCTATAACTCAGCGAGATTATGTCCGTTCTAGCTCATATTTTCACACCAAATAGAAAATAATGTGAACTTATTGCTGACAAAATATGAATATAATTACTTTATTTGCCTAAGGGTAATAGACTGTCAAAATTTAAAACGCGCATTGGTATAGCACGTGACTAATAAGGCCAAATTTATACTTCTTAACATATTATCGATCCTTAGACATCATACTATTGTGTCCAATTAGCGGTTAGGTCTCTAAACTCGTAGCAGAAAACACGTCTTTTTGCCCGTAAGAGCCTCTACTATATAGTTCTTTTATTCAAATTTCTGATTGTTTCTTAATAGACTCAGTGAAGACAGATTCTAATGGAAATAAATAGCTGAATAAAGTATGACGTAGAAATGTCGATACGTTATTCAGCTATTTATTTCCATTAGAATCTGTCTTCACTGAGTCTATTAAGAAACAATCAGAAATTTGAATAAAAGAACTACTCTTCATTTGTTTTGCGTCCATCCAAGTCTTTCCTGTATTTGTCATTTCAATATTTCACCACTATCCTGCCGTGTCACTGTTGTGTCAGCCCTGCGTCACTGTTTTATAATTTCTAATAGAAAATACCTGAATACCACATAAAATGACATATAATACCCCAGTTGGTTTGGCACTGATCTACCATAAAATGACATATAATAATACCCCAGTTGGTTTGACACTGATCTACACGTTGCTACTGATGTTCAGACACTACGTCTGGTACCGTCTCGTGAGACTAGGAGCAATTATCAGAGTAGCTGTTACAGGGCTCACATACAGAAAGGTACTATGGGATCTATTTTTATTTGCTGGTGGAATAGCTTTTTCCATGTTCAAAATCAAGCTGAATGTAGGGTAATTGGACCCATACCGTTGCCAGTCAATTTCTTGAGTTTTCTTCTATTTAAAGGAATCAGAAACAGATCCTTTGAACTTAACAATCATTGATAATCAGCTTTACAGGCGTGCAGGATAAGTCAAAGGGAGATAGGGGAGAGATCGGTTGGCATGATTGTTAACCTCATAACTAATGATGCTCAGCGAATAGTTGAGGTAATTTAACCGTTACAATTAGCTAATGTGGACAACTATTTTTGATGTCAACAGAGACGATTTAGTTGCTGTAAGAGTCTAAAAAAGTAATTTTGCGTGTAAAGGTTGATACTTTAACTTAAGTTGATAATTGAGAATGGTTGTTCTAAAATGGCTGTTTCACTTTTTCAGTACATCACATCGGCAAGCGTATTCTTTAATCTCTGGTCAATTCTGATTGTGAGCTTTGTCGTGATGTACAACCAAATTGGTATCTATGCTACCTTAACTGGGTTCTGTTCGATGCTCATCTTCGTGCCTATCCAAGTTTGCATGGGCAAGTTTGTTTTTTACCTCAGGTGGGTGATGATTTTTAACCTATTTGCCAAACCAAATAAATACACAATGAAAGCTAGGAACTTCACCACGGAGAGAATCCCTAGATTTTTGTTGCAATAATTTTGCCACGTAGCCTGATCAAATCACTATCAGTATTCACAACGTGACTTGGGTCTTGGACAAATGTTACCATGACGTCATAACTTTTTCTTCAGAACAAAGACAGCACAACTTACAGATAGTAGAGTGACAACTATTCACGAAATAATATTATTCATAAAAGTGATAAAGATGTACGGATGGGAGCTTATGTTTAAGAGACTCGTGGGAGAGGTTAATGAAGAACCCAAGCTAGCAGCTAGCTAGTCTCATTTTAAAATTAACATTTGCAAGAGTTTATTTTAGACCAGTTCCTGTCATGTGGTAGAACAAGAGAATAGCCAAGCAATTGACATTTTTACAACTAGATCATTGAAAACCACCTTTCAAAGTTTCAAGCATCACAACATATTTACATATCGCAGATAAGGCTACAAGAATCTAGGTATATTGGAATGTTTGTACTAATGAAAGCCATGACTACTGCAGTTTTCTACATCTCCCCTGTATTTTCCCTTCTTGTAGTCATCACTGTAAGTTTTCAGAGATTTCAACAAGTTGTGTTCTTCTTATTTCTTACCTAACCGGTGTGTTTCAAGACTCACGTTCAACTTTTGAATGTTTTTTTGTTGAAAAAATTGAGTTTCTCTTAACAGACTTTAAAACCACTGTAATCCCTTTTGATTCAAGATGAAGTGGTATTCGAATGAGCCAATCCGTACAACAGATGTTTTATTCTTCCTGTCGATGATTGGTGCTGTCAAATTTTACATCTGCATTGCTCTTGGTAATATATTTACCTTTGTTCCACAAGTTGTTCACAGTCTTCAGAGAATACAGGTTTGACTTTTGTTTGTATATAAATCCAAAGTAGGTTCGTAATTAAAACTTATTTTGTGTCTGTCAGTGGATATCTCAACTGAGCATTAATATTGAAAGTAAAAGTGTATGATCCGATATATTCAGGATTTTTTGAATGCCGACGAAATAAAGTATATCCACAAAAAAGCAGCCATCAACGATGTTATTGAGAATAAGAATTTCTTATACGACGACGCAAAAATGAAAAGTGGCAACGAATCCCCACCTTTCAAAAAAGGTAAGTATTAAGCATAGCTTGTTTAATATGGTTCGTGATCGACTCTCAGACGTTATGGGATAAGAAGCAAGGGAACAGGAGTGAGGAGTCCAAAATGAAAATGACATTGATAATCGAAAACCGCTTTAAATGTAATGACTGAAATTGATTGACATAATTTAACAATTCTTACTTTGAACAGATACCAAGTCTGAACTGAGCGGAGAGACTGTCATAGAGTTTAACGACTATTCTTCAAGATGGGGACCTGAAACCTTTTCTCTTACAGGCAAGTTATCATGAGGGGATTTGCAGCATACTTTTCATGATTATCATTGGTAGAACTTTTGACCAGGGTGAAAGTGGGGTTATCAGAATGTTTTCTCAGGACTCAATCTAACCGTAAAGAAGGGGGAACTAATCGCCGTAGTTGGACCTGTTGCTTGCGGTAAAACAACCCTTATCATGTCGATACTACAGGAGTTGGACCACGAGGGAATTTGCAATATTGATGGAAGTGTGGGGTTTTCGTCTCAAGTACCCTGGATCTTTAACGGTAAAATAACTATTTAATAGAGGTGTTTACTGTTTAGCAATCAGTCAGGTTACATAATTTACCAATATTATCTTATTATGTGAAACTGCATACATTGACAGAATGTTGTTACAAAATAAAATCTTTGATAACGAAGTAACTTAACCGTGTATTTCACGAAACAGGAAATATCGAAGAGAACATTTTGTTTAACAGACCTATGGATAAGGAAAAGCTTAATCAATGTATTGCATCCTGTCATCTTACTAAGGTAGATTCATGGAGCGATCATAAAATTGTGGGTTACTAAAACTTCAAAATGGTCCAGTCTAATTTGGGTGGAGTCGATCACTATCAGTCCATTTGGGGGCTTATTTGTAAGGTGTAATAATGTCATCTTATTGTATAGTCTTTCACCTTTCATTAACGAACTTATAATATGGATTACTCAAAATTCAAATCTCTAACATATTCAAAATAATCCAGGACCTAGAATTGTTACCGAACGGGTTGCACACATTGGTCGGAGAAAGAGGTGTTCAACTCAGTGGCGGACAGAAGGCCCGGGTGAACCTTGCCAGAGCCGTTTACGGTTTGTTTAATTACTGTTATCCTGGTGATGAAGAATTCCTGATGTCGTGAGATATCGAGTTTAAAAACTTTAATTAAAATTGTAATTTTATAAAGTTGAGAGGATTTCATGACGATCGAAAATTATAACAGTATTTGAATGTTGAATTGTATTTTAGATTACTATATGTTTAACCTGTTTTAAACATAACTCGGTAACGAATCTCAGGTAAAAATCCAATTGTGGTTCTTGACGATCCCCTTGGTGCAGTTGACACCAGATGTGCTAAACACATCTTCAACAAGTAAGTACCTTTTATGAGTGTATGGAAACCATCTGCAGATTGCTTGAATTTTACATTTTCAAATCTATTTACGTTCCCTATTTTCAAAATTAAAATCGAAGTTTTTGTCAGTTTGATTCAAGAACAGTTATACGGAAAAACACGAATCCTAGTTACCCATTCAACAAACTTCTTAAGTGAAGTAGACCGTATAGTTGTTATGGATACGGAGGTTGTTGCTAATGGTGACAAAACCAGAGTTGTTGGTAAAATAAGCCACGTAGGGACCTACCCTGAACTCATCTCTAAAGGTTGATTATAAGTGTGGGATATGTGTAATTTTTTAAAGATTGGAAACTAATCGATATTGTTTGAAACATTTAGGAGAATGTCCCTCTCTCAAAAAGTAAAAATAAATTTAACAATGTTGTCAGGTCTAAAGTTTTCTATACTCGGATCTGAGATAAATAAAAATAAGCGTATGAGAACTTCGTCCAAATCCTCTATAAAGTCGGATGAAAAAGAAGAAGAGGGTTGTTCTGATTCGGGGGAGGTAGATGTGTTATTATTATTTTTATTAAAAAACTTTTTATGCTTTTAGAGCAAGATAAAATATCATGAAAGATTAAGATACTTGCATAAACTTGATTTATTAACATTTGATTTTTCACCCTAAAGCATTTTGACTCAGCATCAATGAAAATATAATCAAATAATCAATAAATACATATATATTATCCATCGATCAGTAAAAATTGAGTGCGTTAGTTCTGAAGCTTGTTAGCACTTGCGACTTACATTTTTATTCTAGAGAATCGAAAAGGTGAAGAAACCCGAGAAATTTAAAGAAGAAAGGAAAGTAGGCTCTCTTAACAAAATGCTATACTTGAGGTATATTTTGATTCTTCCAGAATTGTTTCATATATAACAAAGCTTTGTTTATACTTGCTAGCTTTGTGAGGCTCCTGAAAGAGGATGATATATCATGATTCATGACATTATGTACCATTTTATGACAGATGTCATTTTCATTCACTTTTACCTTCTTTTTTTCCTTTTTCGAGATTCGAATTGGTATTAGAGGATTCTCTTGCCAATCAAGTTGATCGCTATCGATCTTGCATTATACCAATTACTGTTGCGTATGACTATGACCATGGCATCTGTTTATCTCGATTCCCAAACTATACTAAACAAATAATAATAATATACTTCATTCTTTCAGATACTTCTCTATGAGTATCGGGTTTATGGCTATTCCAGTTCTTTTGATAGCCCTGATAACACCTCAGATTCTCATAATATTTCAAGAACAATTCGCTATCAATTGGTTAGTTTCTTCGATTACTATAATATTATATCCTCTGACATATTGTGATAGTCTTGTAATCACTGTGATCATCACAATCTTTTCTTTAGCGGGAATTTCTGGATAAAATTCAACTTGGTTGCAACTTGGTTGGTGTTTTGCGGTGATTTTCTATTTTCTATACCAGGATAACTGACAGAGTCACAGAAGATCGCATCTCAAAAAAAGATTTCACCTCCTACGACGAGAATCACTATACTGTTTACATTTGGCTGGCTTGTGGAACTATTTTATTGCTTCTCATCAGGGGTTTTGTCTACGGATTTGTAGTATACAGGTTTGATGATGCCGGTTAATGATCATAACTATTCTGATGGACTGCCAAAATAATAAGATCTGTTCTTAAAAGGTATTATTAAGATTCCGATTAAGTTTCGGGAATCAATTTATCGAATACTACTTTATAATATGAAAATCGCTCAAGACTAAAACCCTTTCATTTAAAAAGGGCAGGTAGAAAACTACACAACAAGGCACTATTCGCAATGCTAAGATCACCCATGAGATATTTCGACACACATCCGATAGGTTTGTTTTTGGATTTGATCCTTTATTATTCCATTTATCCACAAACCGCCGCTTTCTATGATTTGATTGAATTTGACAAAGATATTAGAGATATTCTTCTTGGCGAGGCCTTTATTATTCATAACTTTTTTTCTCAATCACAACAATTTGACCACAGCTGTATTTATTTTTCACTGACTTTTGGGTGTTCAATCAACTCTATTTTAGGAATGATTATCAACCGATTTTCAAAGGACACATACTTCATGGACGAGCGGTTCAATGACGTTTCCTTGGGATTCGCTCAAATTTTTCTGCTCCAGTCGGGTAAAAACTAAACCAAATAACAAAAAATGGTTCAAAATGGATATATTTGTATCTTTTCGGGAACCCAATTCTTTTCTGGTGCAACATTAATTAACTATCACGTAATTATATCAGTAATTTTCATAATCAACAGATGGAGAAATTGTAATATACTTATAATATAATATCTCTGTTTAATTTCTCAGAGAGACTATTAACTCATATATTCAGCTGCGGTAACTTTGGTTGTAATTGCCAATTACTGGTTTATCATTCCCCTCATATTTCTGTCCGCACTGATGGTCTTCACCGTCCGCTACTGCTTGAATACTTCTTTAGATATCCGGAGAATTGAAGCGTTAAGTGAGTTGTCTTTGTTACCCGTGGTGTTTCCACCTATAATTAAGACTCGTGATTTTACTCAAAAACCACTCTCATGTCTTGTGACGATTGCTCGTCATAACTACCGGTGGAGACACCATGGTCGTTCTACTTGCAATATTATATCATTTGTTGTTAAAAACGTCAAAGCGATATCAGTGTGTCCTGATCCCTCCTGATAAACGCCTGGTCCGATTACCTTGATTGACGTACCGTTCCCTCAGAGAGAAGTCCCATCTTGTCCCACATCTGTTCTACTCTGTCTGGGCTCACAACTATTCGTGCAAACAACCAGGTTAGTATTATTACACTACGACAGATAACAGTTTGTGGGTTACATCCTCAATAAACAAGCCACTAGAATTTAGAATACTTTTTAAATGATGGTAATATTGTAACTATGACAAAATTGTTAACAATTGAATCTTTCCTCATCAAGATAGAGATATTCGAGTCTCAGCACTACTTCCAACGGGATGAACACACGCGGTGCTGGATGCTGTTCCTGGCCATAACTCGTGGTTGGCTCCCTTCCCGGCTTGACGGCATCGCAGTCGCTACCTCTGTCATTGCCACATTTCTCACAGTCGCTCTGAAAGATGTCATTGGCTCAACATTCGCTGGATTGGCTTTGGTTTACATCAATGACACGATTGGAAGTTTTCAATGGTGTGTCCGGCAATATACAGAGACAGAAAATATGATGACTGCTGTTGAGAGAGTCATGATGATTGCTCAACTGCCTCCAGAAGCTTCTTTAGAATCTCCAGACAGAAGAAAAAATGAGAAACAATTCGAAACCATCCCGAACAGCAATATTGTCACCACGGGTGTCATAGAGTTTAGAAACGTCAAATTAAAATACGACCCTGACCCTGAAGCGGAGTACATCCTCCACGACCTTTCATTTATAACCCGGCCAAGAGAGAAGATTGGAATTGTGGGTCGGACTGGAGCAGGTAAAAGCACCATACTGCAAGCTCTCTTCAGGATGGTTGAGCCGGAAGGAGAAATACTGTTAGATGGAATGTTGACGAGTGAGATGGGCTTGCACGAACTCAGAAAATCTATCAGCATTATCCCTCAAGAAAGTCTTCTGTTTTCTGGGACTCTGCGAGGAAATCTTGATCCGTTCTTCAAATTCGACGATGATCACTTGTGGGGCGCGCTAGAGAAGGTAGAGTTAAAATCCTTCATTTCAACCCAGACTGGAGGACTGGAGATGATGGTCCAGGAGGGTGGTCGGAATCTGTCAGCTGGTCAAAGACAGCTCTTGTGTCTTGCCAGGGCATTACTAAAGATCAATAAGATTCTTGTTATTGACGAGGCTACAGCTAATGTGGACGAAGTATGAATCTTGATTAAGTTTTCAGCATTTTCTTTTACCGAATTCATTACTTTTTACCTTCTTTCACCTAGCCTAACAAACTCGTAGAGGAAATTTTCTTAAAATGGTGTTATATGAGCACCAATATAAGCTTACCTTATTAACTGGACCAACTCATTTTAATACCAGTATATTAGTAACAACTTCTTGTCCTCCAGAAAACAGATCAGTTGATCCAGCGGACTCTCCGACAAAAGTTCTCCGACTGCACAGTTCTCACCATAGCACACAGAATCAACACTATTATCGATAGTGACCGTGTGATGGTGATAGAGGCGGGTAGATTGGTTGAGTTTGATCACCCAGCAGTGCTTCTGAAGAAACCGGAAAGTATCTTCTTCGATCTAGTTAAAGAAACCGGGATGTTTGATGCTTTGCTGGAGCAAGCTTGTGCTAGTTTTGTGGATCAGTGAATAGAGAAAGTATTATGATGGACAGATTTAGCTACAAGGTGCATGGATTTGTATTATTGCTATTCAATTAACATATACAATATAGTATGTAGAGTGGAATCATAGTCCATAGCCTAGTAGCTGATTTTTACTTGTAAGACGTTTTTCTCAGCTTCATACCTTAGTTCCTATCCACGAATAGGGAAGGCTTTTCTGCAGGTGTTGGGACGTTAATGAGACGGACTGAATCCTGAGATTCGTTGTATAGAAGGATCTGTCTCGTGCTCAGATCTGTTTTGTCGAAACTAAACGCTTCTGCCGGGAGTTTCCGGCGGAGTCCCAGGTCTGGAACACACCCGATGGAAGTGGCGGGTCCTGGTTGTTTGATCTTCAGTTTACGTTTTTTTGGTCTTGCTGCCGTAGTCTTTAAGAGTGAGGACCACGTTCCACGTTTTAAAGTATTTAAAGTAATTGTGAAAAGTATATTAGTATATTAGTCAATTTACTGGGCGGCGCTCAGCCTGTCGGATTATGAATTATGAACATAAAACTATCCGGGATAGATTTATGTTCATAATTCATAATCCGACAGGCTGAGCGCCGCCCAGTAAATTGACTAATATACTAATATACTTTTCACAATTACTTTAAATACTTAAAAACGTGGAATTACGTGGTCCTCACTTTGCTCTAACCAGAGCCCTCTCGCTTGCAGTAGCGCGCGACCGCCGGAGGCGGCAAAGAGGGCTCTATCCATGGCCACAAACTGGCACCACAAATCGTGGTGCCAGATTTCCTCCCATATTTCTGATGCCGCGCGGGACGTGTTAGTCATTTTTAGTCATGTCCGTGGATTGTGATTGTAATATCGGAAAACAATATTTTCTCATTGGATTTGATTTTTGTAGAGAGCTAATATACCTTCTTTGATCACGCACTCCATTTAAAAAATTTGAAATTTTGCTTGTTCCTTTGTTTGTTGCAATCATTCGGTTGATCATTCGGCGGATGCTCCAAAGGGCCGGGACATATTTTAATGTTAAATTCTCAATAACCAGCAGACTTGTTACCAGTTACCTTGCTAGTGCTACTCTTTTGTCGTTTGCAATTGGACTTTAGATTCATTTTCTCATTGGATTAGATTTTTGTAGGGAGCTAATATACCTTCTTTGATCATGCACTCCATTTAACAAATTTTGCTTGTTTCTTTGTCTGTTGCAATCATTCGGTTGATCATTCGGCGGATGATTCAAAGGGCCGGGACAAATTTTAACGTTAAATTCTCAATAACCAGCAGACTTGTTACCAGTTACCTTGCTACACTTTTGTCATTTGCAATTGGACTTAAGATTTATTTTCTCATTGGATTAGATTTTTGTAGGGTGCTAATATACCTTCTTTGATCATGCACTCCATTTAACAAATTTTGCTTGTTTCTTTGTCTGTTGCAATCATTCTATTCGGTTGATCATTCGGCGGATGATTCAAAGGGCCGGGACATATTTTAATGTTAAATTCTCAATAACCAGCAGACTTGTTACCAGTTACCTTGCTACACTTTTGTCATTTGCAATTGGACTTTAGATTTATTTTCTCATTGGATTAGATTTTTGTAGGGAGCTAATATACCTTCTTTGATCATGCACTCCATTTAACAAATTTTGCTTGTTTCTTTGTCTGTTGCAATCATTCGGTTGATCATTCGGCGGATGATCCAAAGGGCCGGGACATATTTTAATGTTAAATTCTCAATAACCAGCAGACTTGTTACCAGTTACCTTGCTACACTTTTGTCATTTGCAATTGGACTTAAGATTTATTTTCTCATTGGATTAGATTTTTGTAGGGAGCTAATATACCTTCTTTGATCATGCACTCCATTTAACAAATTTTGCTTGTTCCTTTGTTTGTTGAAATCATTCGGTTGATCATTCGGCGGATGCTCCAAAGGGCCGGGACATATTTTAATGTTAAATTCTCAATAACCAGCAGACTTGTTTCATGAACTATAAACTCGTCTTCTTGATAAGGTACATAGCCGCTGGAGTTGGAGATGTTTTCATATGGGTCATGGTAATTTTCATTGCACATGTTGGTTGGTGTACTTGTTAATCTTTGGACAACAGGTTTGATCAGTCTGAATGTGATACTGGTCCTTTTGTTTGTACAAGATGGTTGAGTACAGATTTCATGTCTGTAATGAAGCTGGGATTTTTTTAGACATGATAGGTCTAGGGCAGACACCACTTTTCCTGTTTGAATTTCTGTGAACTGCATCGTCCTAGAGGCACCCAGAGAAACTGTCACAATATAAGAGTTTTCATCGATGCATTCTTCATTATCACTATGGATAGGCATGCATTCTGTCCCGGTACTATAGTAGTTTACGAGAGCACTGTTGTAATCATACTCCGGGAGTAGCACGTCAAGATATGAACAGATAGCTGCCAGATAGGACTGATGTGGTATCTCCCTCGCCTCATGACTTCCCCCATTATACACATATGGGAATTTCCCAAAGTAAGCCGTTTTCCTATTTTGAAACTGGTGGCTATAATCTAATTCTCTCAGAAAGATGTCTCATGTCTATGGAAAATTTTTGAAACGGTGCCTGATCAATGAGTTCAACAGGTGGTATGATAATGTCAGGGCTTTCGCCATGTACACTTAAGGCCACACTGGATATGGGTGTTACATCTATTTCAGCATAATACATGCCACTCCAGGGATTGACAGATCCTGTACTCCCATTGATTTGATTTTCTGTGTTGTTGGAGATGATAGGCTCTGGTGCTTCAATGATGCCATCACTATTGATTAGCATGAAAGATTCAGGCATCTCGCATACACTATCATATTTAATCTGATGGTTTTCAAATTCTGTCTGAACTGCAACATCTGAACACTTATCCAGGACAGCCCGATAATCTGTTGACTGATTCATACTTTGATGTAACAACGTACCATTAATCTCTGCTATAGTCTGAGAAGTTTGAACAATGTCTTCTAGGATGGTCACTTTCCGCTCGAGAAACTTGACATGAGATTTGAGTGCAGTACAGTTTTTGCATTTTTGATCACATTCCGACAATAGTTTTCCAAAAAATGTTTCCATTGAATCGTCCATGATATTGAGTTGATGATTTGAATTGAGTTGATGATTTGAATCGAAGCGAATTGAAGAGTCCACATGTGAGATTTGCTCCATTCCAATAACGTTACATTCGTATTACTTTGGTCATACTTCAAATTATTTGTTATATAGTAGTGTTGAAAGTATTATTAGCATAATTTAAATCCATCTCTGAGAAACACTATAGGCGAACCTACCCCAATATTGGTTAGCAAACAATATTTTATTGATTAATTCCCTAAATTGTTTCCAGTCCAAATAATGGATATTTATTAGCATAATTTACAGCCATCTCTGAGGAACACTATAAGTGAACCTACCCCAATATTGGTTAGCAAACAGTATTTTATTGATTAAATTTTCCCCAAAATGTTTCCAGTCCAAATAGTGGACATTTATTAGCATAATTTACAGCCATCTCTGAGAAACACTATAAGTGAACATACCCCAATATTGGTTAGCAAACAGTATTATTGATTTATTCCCTACATTCATGTTTCCAGTCCAAAAAGTGGACATTTATTATTAGCATAATTTACAGCCATCTCTGAGAAACGCTACAAGTGAACCTACCCCAATATTGGTTAGCAAACAGTATTTTATTGATTAACTCTCTAAATTGTTTCCAGTCCAAATAGTGTATATTTATTAGCATAATTTACAGCCATCTATATCTCTGAGAAACACTATCAGTGAACCTACCCCAGTATTGCTGTATTGGTTAGCAAACAGTAACATATTAAGGGTGTATTATAAACCATGTCCTATCCCCCCACCGCACCCCCTTTTCCTTAGCGAGTATATATATAATAACATCTATAAACAAAAGAGCACCTAAAGAGGCTCAGCAAAGTGCTGGCCTATTTACGCTTTCGAAGACTCATTCGTTCAATATGTCTCAAAGTAAATAAACTCCTCCATCCTACTCTATCTCTTGCTAAGTTCACTAAGTTGGTAAAATCATCTTCGTTTTTCAAATAAATTTGTCTCTTAAATAGGTCCTTTTTCACAATAATATCATACAAATTAGTCCTGTGTCTACCCACTCGTCCCTTTAGCGTTTGACATCCTAGTGTAGCAAATAACAGAGACTGGTAGGCAGGCGTGTCGTTGTCACTGCGTAGAACATGACCTAGCATTGTCCACCGTGCCTTTTCCACTCTGATCTCGGAAAGGGGCCTGGTCTGGGTACGAGCGTAGAGGGCCTTGTTAGATATTGAGCTAGGCCAATAGATGTGTTTATCACCTGCCTACTTACTGTAATCTACTATTCAGTTAATCTGAAATTATACTGTCACATTATTTGTATATTATTTATAGTTATAGAACAATATGGATAGATTTAATAAGTTCTCGTTGACAGTAGAACACTATGTTGAATGACCCCTTACAAAGGATCCTGTACGTGCAGAAATAGTATACATCTAAGTACACACTCATCTGCACACAAAAGTTACACTCGCTTATACAGTTCATCTCTCGGATTATTCCAGAATTGCGCGCAAACACACGTGTTGTCTCAAACAATGAAACAGTTTGTTTCATTGACATGTAGGTCGTACATTCTCTCGTTGTGTGTACGTTTTGAGAACTTTTGTTTAGACTTTAGGGGCCATCTACTTAGGACGTCCGTCAAAATTGCAGATTTTCAGACCAGCCCCGGGGGGCACCCACCCCCTCCCCCTGTCCGGGTGTGTCCGAATTTTCAAAACCACCCCTCCCCCGGACGTCCGGATTTCCAGCTACTTTAAAGAGTACAAATAAAACCAACTCAAATTCATTGTTAATAAAATGTGTAGTCACTTAGAATAGACAATATTGTATAATACATTTATATAATACATTTAGTGTCGAAAAAGTTTAGCACAGTTACATTAAAGTGCTTAAGTAGGTAGCCGTCCAATGGAATAAGTTTTAAGGCAGTATAAGCAGAATATGCGAGTTGTGTCTCAGTTCTCATGAGCTGCTCTGGGAAATGACTTCTCGTTCAAAATACAGGGATCTAAACTTACTGAGTAATTAGTGTCAAAGAGTTGAAATATAAATGCGACTTTTTCGTTATATTAATTCTGCCAAAATTTCCGGACGTCCGGATTTTCAGAAACCACTCCCTACCCCTGTCCGGATTTGTCCGAAATTCCAAAACCACCTCCCCTCCCTTTTTGCTGGACGTCCTAAGTAGATGGCCCCTTAACATTTTATTTGATGCAGAATAGCTGACAGCAGCTACAATTGTACATTTGACTCAGTCTTTCTGTCTGATATTTACTTTGCTCCTAAACCTTCTTTTAGTTCTGAAAAAGCAAGATTTGCCATGATACAGCGACTTTTTATGTCGTCATCGCTGCATAATTTAGACTTTAGAGCCAAGGTACTAAGGCAGATAGCCGATATT